TCCATGTCGAGGCTGCCGGCGACCGCGTCGTGCTCCACGAGTGTGGCCAGGTCGGCGAGGTCAAACGCCTGCTTCAGCCTGGATCCCGGCAAGCCGCGTAGGGCCGCCTTAGTGATCGACCGAGCGGCACGGCGAAGATCAACCGACACCGGCGAGCGCAGTCGGTGTTCCTGGTGCCACAGGGCGGCGTCAAGATAGAGCCCCGCCGAGCGGTATCCGCCTATGCGGAGGGCGCCGGCGAGGAGCTGCAGCTTCTGCGCGTCGAGGGGGAACAGCTGGAAGTTCCCCTTCTCGGCGAGCGTGTTGAGCACCCTGACTCTCGACTCCATGGATCGGCGTGTAGATTGCGCCAGCAGGTTGGAGTCTATCGCCGCCATGGTGTCGGCCCGGCGGCTCGGGTCCATGGCCTCGAGTGCCGCGGCCATAGAGGCCCGAGTAGAGGACCGGCGTTCCGGCACATCTGATCTCATCTGTGATAGCGACGGCACCGGCGGCTGCGGCGGCACTGGTGCCAAGATCGCCAGCAGAACCGCCTCGGGCACGCCGTGAGCGAGCAGCACTGGGAAGGAATCTCGTACCGCCGGCGAGTTGGTCACGCCCAGCCGGGCAAAGGTCGCAAGATGCGCCGTGCCCCCGGCGTCGGCGACCACCTTGAGAAATTCCCCAAAGGTCGAGCCGACCGTCGTCGTCACCGGCACCAGTGCCATATCTGCCTGGGCGTTGCGTCGTCGGCGGGGGGGGTACCTCGAGCCCGAGCAGAAACGGCTACGGAACACCAGGGCAAAGACAGCAACGGCGACGACCGGCGAAGAGAGAGAGAGCAACCGACGGCGACACAAGGCGCGAAACACGAGGCTGAAGAGAGGTCCTTTTGCGCCATGCGGCGTGTGCTCGGGAAGGCGGCAAACGGCGACACAGGTCGCAAAACACTGCCGTCGGAAGAGACCAGTCGGCGACCTTCGTCGCAAAAGTGCCTTGGCGGCGTTGGCCTGGAGACCGGCGATGTCTTCGAAAATCAACTCGGCTGCCGGCTCCGGCGTATATCGCCCCTCACCTCGGCGATCAATCCCATGGCGCCTTAAGGCCGGCGCAAACGGCGCATTGGTGATCAAAATGATCTGCGCCGTTATCTATGATAACGGGCCTCAGGCATCGACCGACCCCGGCGGAGGTGAGCTTGCGGCATTCGGCGACAAACTGGCACCCCGCCGCCGTGCAGGGATGTGTGCACCATCCGGCGACCCTGCGGCGTTCTTTCTGCGCCTCCCAAGGAATCCTGGCGCCAAGATAGCCCTCAGGCAGGCGGCGGCAGAACCAGTACCCACAGAAGGTGGGAGCTGATGCCGGCGGTATCTTCGGCACGGCGGACTGGTCACCGGCGTCCGCCGCCGCTTCCATCTGGATCACATCCTCCACCGTCGGGCGGGCGAGGTGCCGAATAGACTGCGGCATGTCGTCTTCGGCGGCCGCGCCGCGGCGATGCATCCGATCCTTACAGCGGCTGTAATCCGGCGTCAGGTTGCGGCGGATCGCGGCCACCTCGGCGTCGGACAGCTTGGAGCGGATGCCCACGGTTCCAGATCGGCGGGTCGGGCCCGGCGAAAGAGATGCCACTCTGTCCGGCGTGCGCCTATCCGCCGACCGGCGCCTTGGTGTGGTAGTCCTGGGCGGCGTCGTGGTAGAGCTGGTGGCCTGTGCCGGCGTGGTCCTCTCGGGCGGCAGGGGTCCCATGACCGGCGGTGCCGGCACCCATGTCACCGGGCTGGCCGTCAGCGGCGGATAGTCCTGGACCGGCGCAGGGGGAGGGGGATCATCGGCGGTTGCCGGCCGCTCGCCTCCTCTGCGCACGGCCCTGCCCCGGCGTGCCTCCTCGGCGTTCCCCGTCTCCCGGATCGGCGGGAAGATCGGTCTGCTCTGGGCCGGCACCGGCGACTGATGATCAAATCCAGGGCCGGCGTTGTTCTGGTTAGACATCGCCAGGCGAATCGCCGCCTCATTCAATACCTCGTCGGTGTTCACGGACGTCCCCGCCACGGAGCCCGGCGTGAAGGCGGCGAGGTTGGCCGTAGATCTCGAGGGCGGCGAGGATGGGCGGGTCGGCCGCTGCTCGGCGCCTGGTGGTGCTGCTCGATGCCGGCGTCCCTCGGAGTCAAGCTGGATCGTCACCCCCGGCGTCTGCGCCGCGGAGATAGCGGCGGACTCTGCCTCCATCCGAGCGTTGCCCCGGCGAACCATTTCCGGCGTGAGGCCCCATGGTGTGCCATCGCCCGGCGTAGTGCTCGCTGGTGTGCTGGCGGCGGTCTGGAGGAAGACGGCGCCAGTCCTCGGTGTCCGGTCCGGCGGCGGGGCGTCCAAGAAGACACTCCTCGACACCCCGTCGTCATAGGTAGGCTGTGGTGCCGGCGGCTGCCAGGACACTCCACCCGACCAAGCCGACGGCGGCGCCCCCATGGTGGTAGAAGAAGATGCCGGCGTCCGGGTCCTCGAGGGTGTCCTGGGCGTCGGGGTAGTAGTCGGGCCGGCGGCTGGCACCTCTCCGGCGGTGGCCGCGGTAGCCGGCAGCCGGCGCTTCATCTTCTCCTTCAAGACGGCGTCGCTCGGCATGTTGGCCGGCGGCACCACCATGAGCGCCGACGAAAACTCCGCCAGCGCCACTCTGTCATCCACCGTCATCGCCGCCGCCAAGTCGCGCCAAGCCACCCAACCACCGGCGTGAGCTGCCTCCAGGACGCACCGCAGGTTGGCCACGGCGAGCGGCAAACCCTGGAGCTCCGGTTCCGGCAGCGGCGGTGGCGGCGCCTTGTACTGCGGTGGCACAACCGGCGGGGCTTTACGCTGCACCGGCGGACAGGAGGATGACATGGCTCAGAACGGCGTCTAGCAGAAGTCTCTCAAAAACGGCGCTCGAGNNNGCACACACACGTGTGTTTCACTACATCAAGAAATGTAATTAATGTGTAGCTTACATCACTTGTATCCATGTGTTCATGCCTCTAGGTCTTTGTTCATGGTGGTCTGGAATGGTACGGCCCTTCATATCGCACAGGTGTACTCACGCAGGTGAGTACATGTGAACATACATGTGTGAGAATGTGTGCATACAAGCAAACAGATAGACAAATAGGTACCAATATATACCATCGATGCATACGGACAGACATTTAAACAAAGAGTAAAACAGGGGAAAGGATGTTAGGTTGCTAGTCTGTGCAACTCTGGAGACCCGAGAGGTCAATCCAATTCCGGTGCACTGCCTGTACTACCACATTCGGTCCTGGTTGCAGCCAGCTTTATCATCGGAACCGATTGAACAGCGACAAACATACAAAGCCCAACGACACGGCGACAATCTTGTATCTGTTGATGAAAGCACACCTGACTGATGTAGGGATTGGGCTGGGAATGCTGGGACATGAACCAGAAGCAACGAGGCAGAAATGATGTGCATCCAAAATCCTGGAAAGCTTACCGCCGAGAACAGTGGCAGTTCGGCACACTGGAAGGGTTCGCTTCCGATGCGATCGGTAGGCCATGGACCTTCGGCTCTATCGACGGCAGCTCAACCTCGTTGGCCTCAAAGTCTTGCAGCGTTGATCATGCCATGCGGCATGTTGAAGTTGTGGGAAAATTTGAACCGCTGTCTTTCGATCAGCCTGTCCATGCTGTGCTTCCCTCGCAGTCTCATCTCCGAGATCGAGGCTGCGGCCTTCATGTCAAACGTGGACCTCGTGCCGCAAAGACGCAGTAACTGGCCGACGGTAGGTTCGTACAGGTTAGTTTTGATTTGCTGCCGTCAGAACTAGAACTGCGCTGTCCATCTGCGAACAGCAGGCCACCTCAAAACGAAGAGGAAAGCTTCGGGGAAAGACACGTAATTCGAGTGGTAGCTCTGGTCCACCAGTTTGAGATCAGGATGTTCACGAGCCAATGGTGTGGGAGTTCGGCCGGCATTGGCATCCTCTCACCAACAATGCGGGAGTTCCTCTGGACTGGGTTCAGCTGTTCCCGTTTCTTGAACCCTGTGCCGTGGTATGAAACTCCACTTCCTGGCAAGACGAATGGAGGACTCCGAAGCCTTAACTTGTCGGGCTCTCGGATGCAAAACCAGGTCACAGCATGACGTGGCTGGCTGCATGTCTGTCTCGACCACCTGCTCTGCGGCCGGCGGACCACTCTTGGGCTCAAGCATCGGCTCGATCACCGATGCCTTCGATCATTCTGATTCCACTTCACCCCAGCATTCTGATGCGTAGCGACCACCTACAAGTAGAACTGCTACTAGTGAATGCTGCGCAAAGCTCACTCAGACTCTCGCAGGTGAGCTGTCGCAGAGCTTTTCAATCTGAGCTTCCCCGCCAAACGAGCCCGGCTTCGATGTTCACGTGGGCATGGTTGCAGGCTGCAGGTCAGGGCTTCGGGGTATCCTTAAATCTTGCTTGTCATCGACATCTGCTCTGACCACTTCATGTTTGAGGCGCATTTGTCAGCTCGTGAAACGTTAAGCAAGCTGGCCCAGCTGGCGCTGGCTGACTGCTTGCTAAGACTGCCGCGTTCATGGCGGTTCATGGTTTGTCGGCACTGCTTCCATGAGCCTAAACTGGCAAATCTCGCAGGAAGCATGGCTCAACTCGTGGATGTCTAGCACCTGAAAGAGCTCTTTAGTCAATGGACTCATGGGCACCATGCGGGATCTTTTCTCACGAGCGCTCTCCCGTGCCTGCGTGGCCTGCAAGGACACTCACGAGAACACACCCCCAACAGAATCTTGAGTAGCAGGCCGCGGCAGGCCGCCTGGTTTCGAGCCCTCTGCAGCGGACCTCGAACACTGGTAGCAGGCCGACGTAGCATGCTCTTCAATGGGGGGCGATTAGGTGCTCTCCCTCATCCGGGACGAATCTTATCGACTCCTGTCTTCACGATCTTCACGTCTCAGTAGCCGGACGTTGGGAGCGCTGCCCGTCGTGCCGCGCAGGCGTAGCGCCCAAGCGCCTGGACACCTCGCGGCGAAAGGCAGGGACCACAGGAGGAAGTGTCGAAAAAGAGTGAGAACCAGGTGCTGCAGGCGAATACGTGTCGCATACAAACATTTCCAGAATTCCAGAAGAACAGTTTGGGAGCACTAGGGGCGCAAAAAGTACAGAGGATTTAGCTACACACAGCAGGCGGTTCAACGTGTGCGACTGTCAGCTTCAATGTCAAGAATCCCATCACGGCGCAAGTCAAGTGGGTCATGTTGCAACCGTACTATATTCTACAGTCGTGGTTCTTGCCGAGACTCGACACGCAAAGACTGCAATGCATTTATTCATCTGCAGAACCACTCCGATTCATGTTCGGGCATGTGCATGTACTGTTATGCATTTCTGCTGGCGTTTGTCGAACTTGACGCAATGATTTCTGTGTATGCGTGCATCTGAAAGCGATGTATCGTTATGGCATCGTTTTGCGATGGACCTCAATATGGGCAGGGGAGTGCAACGGAGGGCCAGCACCGAAATTGACTTCTCAGCACGCTTTCCGCCTTTTGCCTCGATTGGAGGCTCAGGAACACGGCTCTCACCGTGGTCTCACGGAGGCCTGGCGCCTCTCCCTTGAGACTGCGCGAGGCTCCCTGGCATCTGTCTGCCCTTGGCAGGCTGATAAAGGTCCTGTACACTGCCAGATTTGCCCTACAACTAGTTAATTTTTACACCCCCTGAAAAGATGCAGCGGAGATGCAGGCAAAACATAGACTTGGGGGAGCTTGAGATTGCTGGCGCTCAACTCTAGTGGATGGTTGAATTAGAAACTACAGGATGTCCGGGTCACAGGACTTAAGGATTGCTGTCAACATCCATTGTATGATATCGCAAGCAGCAAGCATAAATCCTTCCGCGACTGCTCCGGCCAGAAGCCGAATGCAGCCTCGACTGCCAGCAATCATGAGCTCACACCCAGGGAGTTGCCGCTCAAGCAGGGATGCTCAAAGTCAGGAGCCCAGTTCGGACGTCTTCTCGAGGTGCAGGCGGGCCGCTGGCCTGGTTCTCACCTGTTCCGGAGCTTCGCTGACTGGATTCCGCTTCCTGCGAGGCCCCTGCCTGAAAGTCGTGCCCGGTAGCGACAGATCGTAAGGGCGCATGAGCCTGGTAAGCTTTCACTGCAATATCAATCTGTTTGAATGTACCAGTACGCTTCGCATCTATATGTGACATTGACCCGATCGCTGCTGCAGGCTGATGAGTCTGGAGATGCTTGCAGGAAGCAGCTGAAGGCGATCAAGACGGCCCAGGCAGCCATAAAAGTCCCCGAGGCCTCACATGCACAGACAAGGCGCAACGTGTGTCGCAACACCCGCCACATTGGTTGTAAGACGTTTGGATCTGGGTCGCTAGCAAGCATGGAACACGCACCCGAGAACGTCAACGCGCGGACGACGTCCTGCGCAAAGCGAAGTAGCTGTGAGAAAACGATAGAGATAGAGCTCACCGGAAGCACCGAAAGGACAGGGACCTGCCTTGAAGGTGTCTTTGTTGATGCGCCTCGCCTGAGCCAAAGGGGACACCACTGCTCTTGGGCAAAAGCCCCCATCATACACCATACGTGAGCTGTGGCTTGTTCTGCACAGCCCCAGACTCCTTGCTCTTTGCATAGGAGCCACGATAAAATTCCCAAGTGGAGTGGCACAGAGAATCCCCAGCACGCTCGCGATGTACCTGAAGCTGCAGTTCGCTTCCGACTCTGCAGCACTGCCAAACACAGAGCTGCCGGTGTGTATCAAGATCTGCGCGCAAGCTCTATTATGGCATGTGGGCCCTCACTTGCCAAGTTGCTGCGGCACCCTCCGTTTGTCGAATTTTTTCTCCACGACGAAAAGATAATATGCCTGAGCGGACAGTCCGGCCAACATCCAGAGCCCGCAGCAGCCCTTCTGGCTCAGCATGGTTCCAAATTCCAAGCCCGAGCTGCCTTTGTCGGTAGCCCTGCCGCGGAATTGAGGACAGCATTGGCACGCCAGGTGTCTTTATCCTGATCAACATGCACCGATGCCATTGACATCACGAGAGCCAGACGATCAAGAATACACACACCATCTTTATGTTCGCTCATGGTGCGATGCCAGAGAAAAGAATGAAGATCGTCAAGGCCGGCATCGGGACGGTGTACATGCCTTGCACGCCAAGTCTGTCGGCTGGCACAGCAGAGCAATCCTACAGCATGCGCTTGTGCGGATGCTTCACATCCTGCTTATTCTGCTAGCTACCTGCATTACGGTGATGAAACAGACATACCCAAGTATCGCAAGTACAGCAGCGAGCGAATGAATCATGCTCGCTGCACCTTTCAGAAGGCCACCAGTCGCACCCAGGGCTACGGCCTTGCCAGGACGCGTCTGCAAACGGCAGTCAGGCATTGCGGCATTGCGCTTGCGCAAAACGGTCCTTCCCAGCACCGGTCTAGCCGGCCTTCGCCAGGTCACGCGGCCTTGCCGGGTCAAAGCCAACGGGCGAAGGCTGCTTCCTTGGTGACTCTGTTGTGGTCATGCCAAGAAGCCTGGAACAAGCTGAGGCAAATCAGAGACAATCAACGCAGAAAGCCAGTTGTTCAAAACCCTCCACTAAGCCGACAGTCAACCTTGAATTGAAAATCATTGTATGCAAATCGCTGCGTGAAAAAATCCGCGATCCCTGTGGTCCCCAAAATACATTTTCAATTGCCCTCAAACATCAAAAGAGAAATTGAACTGCCAGATACAACGAGATGCCAGTAGTACAGTGCTTGAAACTCCGAAACCCCCCTGTGGGGAAGCCGAAAGATGAGTACCTGAAATATATTGTCCGCCAAGTCGGTATCTCTTTCCAGCCACGATTCTGCAGGACCCGCGACCGTTCGCCCGCCTCGCCAGTCTCGACCTCTGCGTCTGGCACAGCTGCATTCTCCTGTCCACCTCAGCACAGCCGATTTCTTGGGAAGCTCAACCTGAAGCTGCGCACAGGGACCGTGCTGACGACCGTCGACTGACCGAATGCCTGCCAAATAGCAGCTGTGGCTGTGACCACGCTGCTGGCCATGGTAGAGCACCGAAGAACTCAAGCTATTGCTGCACTGCTGCAGGTCATTTCATTTCTCAATAACACTACGACTTTAGAATGACCACTGATGAGCATTCATCAGCCATTGCGAAAGTCTTATATAACCGGAAGCTGCGGCAGGAGTCCTGATCGTAGAAAAAACTAGCAATCTTCGAGGTGAATGCCTGCGCCTTCTGCGAGCTGTCGGCGTCAGAGCTAGATGCCTGCACCGGAGGATGAGCTTTGACACGCTCTGGCCACAGATGTTTCGGCTCGAAACGACCCCGCGGCTTGCGACATCGCAGGTCCCATCCGGATCGGCCCAAAAAACAAACCATCCAGAAAGTGTTTTGGGAGCTCTTGAGCACTTCTTCAGCTTCAGCTCTGCCAAGCCTAAGTCGCTACTGTTGTCGGCTGAGACTTCTAGTATCTTCTAGTGGCTTGTGTTGAAGCTATGTTCTTCAAGGCTTCTATGTGGTTGGAGACTCAGGCCGATCGTGCAGCGCAGACAATCCTGAGGCCCAAGGCACCTGTCGGTTCCGACGGTGTTGCTCAAAGGCATCCACCAGCAAAACCTCAGATGGCAGCAGTCTGCTAGACAAACACAAGCTTGCCTTCGACAGCTTCTACACATCTGATGATGCGAAGTCCCTTGCGATGATCGCTTTGATCTCCGGGCCATAAAAACGAGTCTGTGTGCTTGTTGACTGGGACAGTCTTTCTAGACAGATGAACGGTTGTCTGGTTTGCACGAGCAGCTGCTGCAGAGCCGGCAACTCGTTTTTAGGTGAGGTTTTGCTTGGTGTCTTAATGCTCCTTGTCGAAGCGAGGATTCACCTTTCCAAGGTACTGATGATGGGCTGTATAATAGTTCGCGCCTCGCACAACAGCACTTCCCGCCTGCGCGACTCTCGCTGCAGTCATTGCCAAGGGGCAACGAATAGAAGGATGCCGAAAGAGCGCTTCAGCCAGGGCGAATCACTGTTAGCGATCAGCACCTCCGAAAAGTCAGCTCGGTTCTCTTAGCTGGGCTGCATGCACGTTACAAGCTCGGCTGTGCTGCCCTCGTGCCAATGAGCTCGAAGATCGTCCATGGAAGCCACATCGCTATGAGGAACCGTAAGTTGATGTGGGCCCGAAGCGTCCAAATCTGAGTTCAGTGGCAGCATACGGGATGTCTCGATTCTTCAAAGGCTCTGTTTGGCACGCTGAGGCCACTCTCGGGCGTATGCTCAAGCTCGTGTTTACAAGCGCAGTAGAGGTACAAAACTCGTCGTAGAGGTACAGAGAGCAAGAGAGAGAGCGACACTGAGAGAGGGACAGGGGAGAGTGTGACGCATGTCGAAACAAACAGACATACAGAGAAATACCACGATGGAGACGCATGCGGGAATGCACGGAGACAAGTATTGATGCGGAGGCGCACAAACAGATGGCAAGACAGAGCGACAGGGACAAGAGTACTACACATATATGGACATAATTGAAGGCGGAATGTTATCATGCTGAGCATGAGCTGTAAACAGCAGACAAGCTAGCGGGCATTGATGGAAGAGGGTGCGGAATCAACAAGCGAGACAGCGAGAGAGAGAGAGAGAGAGAGAGAGAGGGAGAGGGAGAGAGAGAGAGAGTAGCAAGCATCCCATGAGGGCGTGACAGTGTAGACCGAGCCCAAGTCGAAGAACACCTCGCTGCACGACCGCAGCTACATGCTAATGTTGAAAGCATACATGATACCTGACAGCGACACCAGCTCTTAACAAGAGGCCTGGTGTTGCGAGGAAGTGTCACCCTTAGTTCCTGCGACAAGCTTCAATGAAAGCTGCTGCATCCTCGAGGGAACCGATGTTGTAGCCAAGGGTATCCGACAGCCTCGGCAAACGAGAGTTGCATTGACCGAAAGCATTGACAGGGAAGTGAGTGCTTCTTGACTGGCTGAAACATGCTGCAACACAAGATCTCCACAGAACTCCATGGACCGGTGCAATGACCGGCTGACATGACAGGACTTCCAGCTGCGTCGCAGAATTCCTGTTGTGAAGATCCTCGGACCGTCCATGCATGAAAAAAGGAGAAACATTGTGCAGGCTTGGTCTGTGGTTCGATAAGCAAATCGCTCGGCTTTAAGCCAGCAAAGCTTCGGCATCCTCATCCTTAACATGACATCATGTCAAGTATATACTACCAGTATGTAGTTACCGTTACATAATACATCATCTATAACTTATAACCTACAATATCATATATAACTTTCATGCCAAGCGTCATGTACCCGCCCAAGGATGCCACAACTCTTGCCAAACCGCTCGCATTGCTCCTGGGGCTTGTATACTTGTGGATATTCAGCGGGCTCAGCAAACGCATTCTAGCAACTCAGCGACTCATGCCAGAACCAAGTCATTGCAGGGTAGTTTACTATATTTGCTGACCGTCTAAGTGACAAGGGATAAGAAGTACCTCCGTGAAGTTTCCGTTCCTTCCAGCTATCTACCGACGCAGGCATGAATGCATGCATGGAATGACAGTGACCATATGCTCGGACCAGGACCACAGCAGGAATTATTTTGGGGGTTTTCGTTAGCAGCAGCTGCTACGACCCCAACACGCGCCTCATTACGCGGAGGAGTCGAAGTATGATGTGAACGCTACACGGTGCAGAACAGGATCCTTACAATGAGGTACCCCTATGACCATGTGGCAGACAAGCTGCAATGCGAACGTCAGAGCTGCTGCCGGCAGGCCATAATGCTCCATTTGGAAAAACAGGAGGTGAGAGGGATACTTCTTGCGACGGACTCCTTGAGACTGAACCGACAGCTTAGATGCAAAACTTTGGAGATGAGGCGAAGGGGTCCTGACTGCAACTCTGTGAACTCGCATCAGTTTTCATGTCCACTTTCAGGCCTTTGCCAGTACTCCCTGCTATACCTAACAGCTGACGTGGCTTGGTTTGATTCGGGCTTCGTCTTGAGCCTGCGGGCGAGCCGAAGTCCAAGCTGGATGCTGAGACAAGTTGCTTCCCAGGGCAGCTAAAACCAGTGCAACAGAATGCGGCATCTGTCACTCCAAAGATATCCCCATCGAACCGACTTGGGTGCCCAAGCACATCTTCAACTGCGCACGTTGGCTCCCCGTTGTGGCGGCCTTCCGAGAGGTTTCTGGAAGCTGGTGCAGCTCTACAGGAGTAAATATACGGTTCAGGGATACTTGCATCAGCAATGAGCCGAAAACCCCCCGTTCCCGTCCTGCATCCACAGCACCCGAGCAGCGTCCGGGTCGGGCTCAAGGCCTCCTAAGCCTTGTGCCCAGAAGGAGGTCTCAACTTCTCTGAAGACGAGCTGCAAAGCTCTCGCCCGCCTTCATCCAAGATCTCCCCTAGACCTCAGCTGGGGAAGCCAATCTGACATTCAGGCATGTCTCAAACAGTCTGGTCCTTCGCCAGCTTTCGGCATTGCATCGATTGGGCGTGCGGATTCCATCTAACTATTCAGAGAGGTCTCGGCCACTTGGTGACCGAAGTTCCGGACGCTGTGCTCTTGGTCCCTCCACTGCCGGCCATTCTGGTTGTATGATGTTTCTGCTGCTGTGCTGGGGCAGCCACCCAGCAGCGCTTCTTCGTTGTTCGAGTCCTGCACAGGATCATTTGACATCGTCGTCTCCACTGGGACCCTGCGCAGCGGCTTTTGGCCAAAGCACCTCCTGCAAGCTCGCCTGGAACAGCTTGACCGCTCGCCTGATTCAGCTCTCCGAATTTGTTTCGAGTGTAGTCTCGATCGGCGGGCTGGCCTGATGTTCTCGAACTGGCGCACAGCCTGGCACCGAATGGCCAACTCTGTCCATATCACTGGCGAGAAAAAATTCGCTGCCAGCCTCATCTTGGTCGCGATAGGCTCTCAGCAAGGCCGCCTAGAACACAAGCCGAAATCATGCCTACCATAAGACACTGGTTTGAAGATCGGTCAAAAGGGTGTGGCTCTGGGCAGCCGGCCGCACGCTCGCTGAGCTCGCTCGCAATGGTGGGCTCAACCTTTTGAACTCTGGCCGGAAATGATGGGCAGGAAATTGCGGCAAGCATAGAGAGCCGCATCACGACGGGCCCCTGCCTCCTCTGCTTCCACCTGGGAGGATGCTGCACGCTGAGTGTCCTCCTGACTTCGCTTCCTCGGCAGTCGACGCAGCGTCTCCAGGTATGGCAAACTGAGGTCCGTGGTCTGAGGACTTGCGGCTGAAGGTCGCCTCTTCCAACTTCTGCTTTGCCTCCTGCCACCATGTACTCCATTGCGCACAGTAGAACACGGAAGTGTCGGTCCCAAACAAACGTGGAAAAATATCTCGTCCAGCCTCCAGCAGCGACGACAAGGTGTCAGAATCACCCAGAACCTGGCAGAAACAATTTGCAGTGATGGAAGAGACAACCCATCTTGAACAGTCGAGTCGATGCTTCCTGAGCCCAGGAGACCATGGAACTCAATTCTTGAATGCAATCTTGTTCGTCCCTGCGGGCCTTGATGCCACGCATGCAGAGTGCAGCAGCTGTGTCTGGGCGATTAAGTCCCAAAGCAGCTGTAGCAGCCCGCCAGTATGCCCGTCCGTTCAGCTGGTCCTGAACTAGACCGCTGCTTGCAGCGAATTCAGTGCGGCATCAAGTCGACCAGTTGAATGTTGACGACTCCTGTGACGACTGCTGCCTAGCCGCTACGGCCTACTCATGCAGACATGACGCGCTTGCAGAAACGAGGCGTCTTTCACCCTGCGCGCATTCAACTGCCCCAGCCGGCTGTCGCCGTCAGATACGAGCAGCTGAGTGGGGAGACCCGGACTCTGAACTCTGAGAGCCGGGCATGCTCAAGTGCAAACTCGGAGTCCTGTCCAGAGAGGTCTTTGAATCTTCAAGCTGTAAAAATAAAGGTCTTGGCCCTGTCCACATATGATGCCCAGTACGATTAGACGCAGTTGTGGAGATCTAGGTGTCTAGCCCGGGAGGAGTGGGGGACAATAAGAAACCGGGCCTAGGACCTCTAGTTAGAACAGATAATTGTAGGGTTCAATGAAGCATGTCACGAGTCATGATTCTCAACTGCTCTAGTATGACTTTGAAAGACATGCCAGTTGCTGTGAATCCAAGGTCTTGCACGAGGACCTGGCAGAGAACTTGGTTGAGACTCTGAACGATATCTACGAATCTAGGCAGAAGTGCTGCTTTTGAGGCACCTGCGTGAAATGTCTCCACTGTCTCCCCGCACATGGAGGCACAAGCCACTGTCTTGCTCTGCGGAAGCACTCTGACATGCTGTATTTCGAGCTTCACAGCAACGCATTCCTTCATCGCATCGAGTTGAAAACGGGACGGCCACTAAGGCTTTGGGTTCCCTAAGTTCCCATCTCGGGTAGCTGCGGTCAACCCTTAGCCACAAAGTCCTGCAGGGCTTCCGCTTGCTTTCCGATGCGTGCCTGCGCCTGCGGACGATGGGGTTTCGGGCTCACAATAAGGGGACCTGTCGTTCCCCGTGAAAGACCATCGGCGTAGCTTGGGTGGTTGAGGCTTCGGGAGCTGGTGTGTTGTGGCTGAGGTCAGGGTTTGAAAACAATAGCGTACACAAGAAAGCCACCAAGTTGCGAGCAGCTTTCAGCATGGGATAGTGACGGATAGTGGGGGCGTCCCCACAAATTCACTGTCGGACGCGTCAGGGGGTCATGGTTGAGCGCAATATCATCTCAAACGGCATTCTGAGGAGACACGGCCTGAAGGAGATGTTCGATGTTCGACAGCTGCCGAACACTCAGCGCAAATTAAACGCTGACTGCTCACATGCTGTCGGCAAGAATCGGCAGGGCATTTATTTCGCAGCCGACGCCCAGACCGTCGATCATGAAGCACCAGCACTCTTCATGAGATTCAGGGCTGCTCAAGCTCGCACACGTCAACGCATCCCCAACCTTCGTCGGCTGAGTAGCTTTTTTTGTTATCCGGCCTGCGCACGATTGAGATAGAGCTGGCTCAGAAGCTTCCCTTCCACACCAGCCTCCTGCAGGGCACATGCTCTTTGATCCCCGACGATAAGTCTGCGAGGCAACACTGGCAGTTGTGCAAAGGGCCTTGGCCGCATCAATGCCCCGAGAGTAGCATTCCTTGGAAGTTCTGCGGGGCAACTGAAGCAGGACATCACCCGATTCAGAACTGAGGGGTTGACCAGACGCGCTGGATTCTTAGACATCGGTCGCTGCGTGTTTCTCTGCAACAGGAAGGTGTCCGTAATTGAGATTCTTCGATAGGCGATAGGGCCAGGGCTTTCATCAACAGCCACCTTTCTGCCCAATCTGCCGCGGTAGATAATTATTTAGTCTGACGAGTTGCAAAACGCTTTTAGCAGGGGGAGGCTTTGTCATCTTTCTGTCCCCGGGTTGGGATTGCAAACATGAGTACGGCAAGGATCTCGTTGGTGGGGCCGCAAGCTCCGATCAGCCGTGATGAGCCCAGGAGGATTAGAAGCGGCGTGTGGAGAAGCTGCTTCGGGCGCTAAGAGCGGTGGTGCTCGACAGAGCGGGCGGATGCGGGAGCAGTGGATGTCCCAGCGTGGCCTGCTTCACAGTTTGACGCAGTCTACGCCCTGGCAATGCACATCTGTGGGCAATTTTCTGGATGAAATTCATAGCACTGCAGGGGACTGTCAAATTTAGGCCGTCATTTTGGTTTGGCTGAACCAAACGCGAGAAGCTTTCAAGCTCCGCCAACTGCCCTTTTGCAGACGGAGAAACGCGCAAAACCTCCACTGCCTGGTTGGGATCTCTTGTAGCCTCTAGCTGGCTCTAGCTGGCTGCCTCGGCTGCTACAAGGAACACCAAGTCCACAATGTTGTCAACGTTATTGGGTCTCCGACTTCACAAGCTGTTTTCGTGCGTCACGCATCCAAGCATTATTCTGCAAGCCCGTGTGTGCAATACGAGAGGATGCATTCAGCTTGCTTTGCAATGCCAAGGCTCGACAGCGCCGGAAACATCACCCTGCTCAGGATCTTTGGCTCATCTCAGCATTGGGGTGATAGTAAACACCTACGACTTGCGCCTCAGTGAGACGCGCATTGCCGTCGGACTTCCACGTTGCTACCTCTAGCTCTCAAGGACGGTGAGGCTGTGGTGAGAATTGAAAGCTTTGGTGCCAAGACCGCACCGCACAGAAAATGCGACTGAGCCGCCCTTTCTTCGCAAAGCCTTGGCTGCATCAGCACTACAAATCTCTTAAGCCTATTGGGCGAGCTTCGAAAGGGATTACCTTGCGAACTCCTTGAACAACTAGTTGTCCGAGCCCTTGCTTGAAGCGCCAAGGAACCGTTTCACCTCGGCTGCCTCCGGTCCAACCTTTGGCGGTCCCGAAGCATAGCCCTCAAGTCAAGGGTTCTGCTTTGGAAGACAGTTTCCACATTCTCACCAACAGGAGATCCGGGAAAAGAGACTTTGCCTCGGCTGCAGTGGGAGCTCCCGTCATGGCTGCAGGAGGCTTCGTAAAAGAGGTCCTCGGAGTGTTGGATGTTGCTCAGATCTTAACATCATGTGCTTTGCCGCTGGCTGGAACCACCAACTACCTGCGTGGTGGAAGTGGATATCTTGCTGTCGCAGCAAGTAGACAGTAAAGCTTGGTTTTTTGTATCTTACTTTGGGCAAAATCGCGGCCTCAATCACAAAGTCGCTGTGACAAGTCTCGCATTCATGAACAAAGTCAAACCCGAGGCCCTGCATGCCAGGGGGTCGTATCGCTCCGATATCTAGACACAATAACATACAATAACATCTGTTCCCTATCCAGAGTGAATTACCGCTTGCATTCCCCGGAATATAAAGCTGTGTAAAGCTAGCTGTTCTTGGTCGTATGGGTATGGTTCTCCTAATTTGGGATCTCGCCATTCAGCTGCTGCAGTCATTTTTGATGGCTTCTGTTGTAACTGTCACATGCCACCACGACCACTCTCCTCCCTAGCGACACGGGCTTGCATTTCAGTTTGCCTGGCCGCTTCAGCTCAGAAAACTACACCCCGCTTGCTACGGTTCTTCCTTGTCTCTGGCTTAGGGCCACTCAACTGAATCTTTGATCTTTTGAGCCCTGCTCCCTCTCCAACTTAGTTTAGGGTTTAGGGTTTGGGGTTTAGGGTGCGAAGCACTATCGGTGTGGGACACGAAGCTCTGCTAGCCCCACCAAGCTCGTCAGCAGTCGGGCACGAATACACGATTGCTGGCTCACTCTATGCCCCATCTGAGTGAAATCTTAGGAACCACACATACCTGTCAAATGCTATGTGATGCCGACCGTTTCTGACCGTTCAGAACATGCCTTGTGCAATACAGCCTGAAAGAGACATCAGCAAAGGAGTCGCTCAGCACTTTATTAGCTTCTCTGCAGCTAACCTGTTGGCGTAAGGCTTTGAGAAGGTAAAGGCCGCAGTCGGAGGATGTCACAGGCAACGGTGCACAGCGAAGGCTGTATGATCCCCTGCACTTTCCTTTGCTGCCTAAGAACAGGTAAAAGACTGGCTGTGCGCGGCCACTCTGCTTCATCCGCCTTCGAAAAGAAGGTCACCAAGACAGGCGCCGGGCTGGGCAGCAGTCCGTGCTGGTTTGCCTCTTCGAGGTAGCGACTCTTTCACTCCAGCACACGCCAGTCCAGTGACTCCAGCACACCTGTCGGCAGCTCGTAGCGCCCAAAAGTGGTTCTACGAGGAAACTCGGCGCTGCTAAAGCGAGGCTCAGACAGGCTCAGGCGTTCTGAAACTTTTCACTCACAGGCGACTTTGACGCCCATCGTGCTTTGATGCTCCTCGTCAGCGTCCGTGATGAGGGGCATCACCAAACTCTCCACCTGAATGTTCAAGTTGTCAAAAATCGAATGTTTGTCAACTTCATCGTGCACGCGATAGAAGGAACAAAAGAAGAACAAACTTGCCAGTTTGTATAAACAGCCACTGGAATAGCATGGATGGCATCATGCTGGTAGGAGAGGCTGGGACAAACAGGCGCATCACTCGCAATACGATTGTGCTCGGCAATGCTCGCACGTGCAATCGTCGAAGCGTAAACCGTATTCCCCCTGCAGCCACTTTGATGTTCTCACGTGCAGCTGCCTGCTGAAGAGGTATCAAATCCAAAACTCGTGTCCATGTGTTCCGGCTGGGGCATCGCATTCCACACAGGTCGCTCAAGTGCTTTGCCCAAACGTCCGGGGTCTTGGCGTCGCCGCGGATCTCGGGACAGGAAGCTGAAGTGGCTTGCGCTGTGTATCACATTCATGAACACCTTCCTCCAGACGTCGACTGCTCTGATGTCTTGTGCTATCCATCAGAAGCTGTTCGGGGATGTGATCCCTGGCGCAAGCCAACCTGGATAGGGCACAAAGGAACTCTGAGAAGCTCATGCCCTCAAGAACTTTCTTCGCTATCTTGGACATGAAAGCTCTGAAACCTTCCTGCCTGCACCTCTCGCTGAATGGTTTCAAGAAGGTGCAGCTTCGCGGCTGCAGGCGACGATGCGATCTCAGTGGTACTAGGGATCACCGCAGGCTTTCAGTTGAATTGTGCTTATCTTATCAGTCTGCTGCATTGATCTTTAGTCTTTGTTGTTTGAGACGGGTTCCTTTCACGTGTCTTCGAAACAACAGGTTCAACAGGCACTCTTCTGATCTTCTCGGAGGGCTGTGCATCTCGGACCAGCTGCCGGATCCATCCGCATGCGGCTATCGGGCGCGAAGGCCCAAGCGAGCAAGGCCACGCCCTGCCTGGGACACATCTGACAAACAAACCTCTCTTCTCCTCAGGGTGCACGAACCTACCTGGGTGCGAGTCCGCACGTTGGAGTCTTAGCTTTAGCTCGAAGCGAGATATACATGTCGGACTGCGGCCAGCCCCGGGAGCAGCTTTCAGGCCCTCAAAGACAACAACTCAAGCTGCACTTTACTGGCTGTAGAGTATAGTAGCTCCTGGCTGTGGCTCCTCTCCGAGCCCTTTGCTGCCACGGTGCGGTGAGAAGCTCTGCGACACCGAGGCAGCGGCCAGGCCCCGTAGGAGGCGCTCGCCAATGCCTTCCGACGCCGACGGCGACCGCTGTCGGGTCACTTAGGACAAGGGCACTCGTGTCCTCCACACCCTCTGCTGGAAAGGTTATGGTGAGCCAAGGTTGGGTCGTGAGGCAGTGCTGCTTCCACTTGGAGTCTCCTAAGTCTTCTACAACTGTGTTCAGTTTTTCATTCAGTTTCCAGCTTGATGTCGCACTCCCAATGATGTTGCTGGCGGATTCCATGAGCTCCGATTCCACGCATGCAGCCCTGCCTGTTGCAAAGACCGTGGTGCAGCCCAAAGCCCAGGCCATGTTGGAGAGGCCTCTCACATCTTAGACGATTTTTGTTACCGCAATGAGGCTGGTGGAACTTGTCCAGACTGCATGCAAACGTGCATGTGCCAATATACAGCGCATCTGGCCTTGCGAGGAGAAGCCTTCCAACCTGGCGTCAATTCCATGTCAGTGTTCTAGCAACTATAGTAGCCGTTTACACGCTCTGCCTACGATGCTCCTGGACACGACGGATCTAGAGCTTACTCTTGAAGCCGTAGCCGGGCCTGGGCAGGGCAGCGCGGCCCAAGGCTTCGACCACCGTGGCACCTTCGGCTCTGCTGGGATTGGATCTTGTGGCAAGCTCTCTCGCAGGGTCCTGCTGACTTCATGGAATAGCCACGCAGCCACAACGGTGAGCTGCTGTTTGAGACTGCAAGTGGGGCTCTCTTTCTGTCCCCGCACCCCCGCTCGGGCACAAGGAGGTTGTCCGCACTGCCCGGGCCCCAGGCCCTGCTGTGCTTTACAGAGGGGATGAGTGGAGTGATCAATCACAAGTGCGTAAGCTTGTGTGTGTGTGACACAGGGAAGACGCAAGCGTAATTAATTGCTAAAGATCTCTTGCTCGCATCGCATGTGGGTCCAGGAGAAACCCTGAACCTTGCGCTCGGGTGCTCTCTGTGTATCCTTCGATTTCGGTCAGCACAAGACTAGACTTATTTGGATACACGGTGGTGTGCAGCATTGTGTTTTGGCTAGTCCCCGAAGAAGATGAGTTCAAGTAGCAATGACGTACGATTTATCCCGGCCTTCGTGATGGCAAGTTCTGTCTGTGAATTGTACTGAGGCTGGACGGACTGCCTCCTGATCTTCAGGGTCCTGCACCAAAAGAATTTCCTCTAAGTCGCTCACTGGAGGCAGTGTCCAAGTGAGCTTCAGCTTCTCTCATTGTTGTGGTTGGGCGCTGGACCGCAACACGTTCCCGCCCTGCTCGTCTATACACACTCTCTTTCTCGGTGCTCTCGCACTGCCACATCGATGTCGGACAAGACCAGACTTCCCCGGGCTGGGCACGCGAAGCCATTGTCCTCAGGACATGCGTCTATCCGTACCAACCAACGAGAAGTAAAATGCTCATCAAGACAGGCATGATACTGTAATAGCACGATTCATTCATTCTAGCAGCAATTCGGATGCACCCCACAAACCCTCACTGGTGGGCGCCATGGCAGCCCCAGGGGCGCGAAGGCCCAGGCCAAGTTCGACAGCTGTCTCGCCTCGAAGGCCTGCTGCCGTCATTCAAATTTATTTTGCGCTTTGTGGCGCTGGGGCATGTTGAGACTTTCTTGTTTCTGGATATTCCCGCATGGGTGCTGCAGAAAGACGCTGCGGGCCTTTTGGACTGCCAAGGCTGAAGCGGCAAAGCTGCACGTGTGTCTTTGCACGAGCACACCCTTCGTGCTCCCAGGCCTGGGCATTTGTGTGCTTTGCCACAACTGCCTGCTGCTCACCGCGCTATTTCCAATGTGGGGACAAGCAGCCTCCCCCAAATTGCTACAGGTCTACTGCATGAGACAGCTGCAAACCCATGTTCGGAAGCTGCTACATGCTGCACGTCTTGCAGCTGTTCCTGCACGGCAGAGCTGTTGCCGCCAAAGCGTGGGCAACCCCAAGAAATGACACGACCATCTTCCAGGATCGCAGCAAAAGCCCGGTCGCATGCTTGGACCTCCCGCACATTGCGCAGTTGTTCTGCGACTGCGCTGCAGTCCCCACCATACTCCGGATCACCCCAAGCAACTACAGATCCGTTCTCAAAGATGGCTGCAAATGCCGATCCAGAAGACTGCACGTCTCGCACCTTCCTTGCAGAGCCGCTTAAGACGCTCAGCTCTTTTTCGACAGCTCTGCTGTCGCCTCCGCCCTCCGGAAGGCCCCAGGTGACCACGGATCCGTCTTTCCGGATCGCTGCGAAGGCAGAACTCGACGCCTGGATACAGCGGACATTCGTCAGCTGCTCAGCCACCAAGCGGCTGTCCCCACCGTAGTCGAGATCACCCCAACACACCACAGATCCATCAGACAAAAGAGCAGCAAAGGCACGATCTGATGCCTGGACCTGATCAACGCTGTGCAACTTCGCCTGCACATCACTGCTGTCGCCACCGTAGCTGGAATCTCCCCAGGTCACGACAGATCCATCCTTCCGCACTGCTGCAAAGGCACAGTACGAGGCTTGGATGCAGAGCACATTCCTCAACTGCTCTTGCACGGCGCTGCTGTCACCCCCATCATCCGGCTGACCCCATGCAACGACCGATCCATCTTCACAGATTGCTGCAAAAGCATGTAAACTCGCTTGTATCTGCTTGACACCATGCAGCTGCTCCTGGACGGTGCTGCTGTCACCCCCCTCTTCCGGGTCACCCCATGTCACAACATGTCCATCGTTCGAGATCGCGGCGAAGGCTTGCCTAGTGGCCTGGATCTGGCAAATGTTCTGCAGACCGTCCTGCACCTCACGGCTGTCGCCGCCGCATCGGGGATGACCCCAAGAGACCACCGATCCATCAACCAGAATCGCCGCAAAAGCGCGTGCTGCGGCCTTGATGCACTGCACACCTTTCAGCTGTTGCTGCTGCTCGAATCTGGCTTTGCCACCATCATAAGGATTGCCCAAGGTACTGACAGATCCGTCGTTGCGCAAGACGGCAAAGGCTGAGTTAGAAGCTGCGATCGTGTCCTGTCGTACGATGCCCCACACGGTCTCTTCGTTCTTAATGCCTGCTTCGTCCAGCGTCATCGAGGCATTTACCAAATCCCCGCGTTCGTTGATCAGCTTGCTCAGACCGACGCCCAGTTCGATCTGTGCGTCTCGTATGAGTGCATTGACCCTGGTGTCCCCCCTCACTTCTATCACAACCTTCTTCCCGCTGATCAAGGCCACCGTAATCACGGGCATGGCCTCTGCTTGCAGTGGATGATGGCGGCTCCCAAGAGTCACATTGGGCTGGCATGCTGCGGCTTCACTACTTTACTACTTTATCTGCAAGCTGCATACGCACCTGGCAATCAGTCTTCCGCCTTATACAAGTCCAAGGAATTCCCGCGGACTTCTTCTGCCTGGAACCCAACTTCCTGACCACGCACGAGTACGGCAAACCTCACACTTGATCCAAGTTGTGCTCCGAGGCGGCTCAAACAAACAGGAAATCTGAAGTTAAGCGGTTCTGCCTGTCTCAGAGTGTTGTGATGGATCCACATGAATTTTGAAATCCTCTGAAATTCTTCTCCACTATCAATGCCTCTGCCCCTGCCAGCCGCTGCAGGACTTCCGTGGCCAAGAGCGCCTCGAGGTTCCGGGCCTGTGCCTCAGGTTTCCACACATCCTCGGCAACAGCATGCCGGATAATGCCGGTCAGCCACAGAGACATGATCGGCCCGGCAGCGTGCAACCACCCAGGAAAGGGCAGCAAGCTCCAGCGTCTGTCGTGGAAGGTGCCAATTGGCGACAGGTTGGAATTGCTCGGCATGGGATGGGGTACGTCTCTCGCTCAGTCTGCGTACAACACCCCCACATTGACTCTTGCAGCTCCTAAGTGTCTCAGCTGAGGACAGATTGCTTGCTGATGCTGCACAAAGCATGCACAGCCTTTCCGCAGATGTTCCGGCTTCCTGTTCTGGTCTTCTGATGCTATGTATGTAGAGAACTCTGGCCGCTGCTGTCTGACCGCAACCGTCAAGTAGTCCTGGAAGAACAACCTAACGATAGTACACATTGTGATCGCTTTCTGCAGGTGCCTGGATCTCTCTGTGATGATGCTTTGTGCTTGAGTTGTTTGATTGCTGGTTTCCAACAGTCCGAAACCCCGGAACAACTGTAACCTCCTGTACAGTCTGCGGCATGACGCACCCTTCCCACCTTCAGCGAACCAACAACTTTCGATGCGTGCGAGAGTGTTGACTGCAGAGTAGATGCCTCAAGACCTGGGCAGTTTGCGACACACACACACACGAACACGATCTCTTTCTTTCGGCAGGGCTATGGGCAAGAGGGTAGCCCCCTCGTGTTCTCTCTCTTTCTCCCTCTCACGCACACACTCCCGTTGACACCACTATAAGTGCTGTGGAGCCACTCCCGCTGCCAGCCTTGCGAGCAACTAGCCACTAGTCTATGTCGGCTGCACAGACCGACGGCAAAGTGGGGGACGTTACGACACTGCACATCATTCAACTCGCCTCTGCGGCCGTGAGCACCGTCAAAGCCCAGGCCAGGTTCACCAAGCCCTGCAGTTGTGAGGGAATGGTGTCCGTTGCCGAGCCTTTCAGCCTTTCAAAACGACGCCATCCACAGCCCTGCCTGCGGCAAGAGCTCCGGGCTTCTGGCGTGCGCTGCCCCAGACAGGCGCGGGAAAGAAGTGCCAAGCTCAGGGTAGTGACGAAGCGGAGGCAAGGAGGGGGGTCTAGATTTAGAGTCTATAGTGTTTCCCATGTCAAGTCCGACGACATCTTCCCAAGCCTTCCAGGGTCGCTGCCCGAACACTGCAACCTGTGAGACGAAGTGTCGCCTCCCACGGTACCTCCAGGGTTGCGAATGCCCAGAAGACATTCGCCACTCCTCCCAGCGGATCGGTTCAAACATTCGACGAAGGCCACGCCTGCATAGCAGTGACTACCAGTGACTACATGTGACTACCAATATGAGCGCGCTCCTTGTGGCGACAGCTCTGCTGCGCGATCTTCTGCTGCAGGAGCGGCAGCGGCAAAGGCTTCCGAGTCCTGCTCCGAAATGGTTTTCTGGCCGAACTCTGTGACTAGTTCCCAACATGGGCTTAGCTGGTCACAAAGCGGAGAGCCGAGGCTCGGGTCCTGTTCAAGAGCTGCAAGGGCCCAGATCACCTCAGAAAAAAAAGGCGACCAAAACCTGGCCGGGGCCATGCGGCAACAACGTTGCGGCCGGCGCTGCTCCGCTGAGCTCCGTGGCTCCAAGCCCCGTGACACGGCGCTGCACCTGGGCGCAGATTGGTGCGAAAAGAGCCGGACCGATCGCCCGGCGCACCTCTTCCAAAGCAGCATCCAGTGTGGGCGGCGCCGAGCTCAGCATGCCCAGTGCAGAGAGAAAGCCTGCACAGACTGAAGCCTCTCATTGTTGACGCAGTGCCTCATTTAAAGCTGTCAAGAAATCAAGCACCTAAGCCTGAAGTCCTACACTGCCGAAAACTAATCAAACACTCTCTCTACGCTCTGCACCTGCCTGCAAATTCTTCAGGTTGAAACGTTGCCAGGCCTCGGGAGCGACAAGATCTCTCAACCATTTCAAGGAGTTGACACCGAAGGCGGCAATAATCCATCGCCTTCACAAACATCTCATTCTAATGGCCGCGTTCCCACACGTCGTCTGGTAGGCACTATATTAATATGCTCAATCGCCAGCTCATACCTGCATCTGAGGCTCCGATATCAACAGCCCGCTGACTCAGCAACTGTATGAACCTGGAGGGTGTCACTGCTGGGATGCTGATCAACCAAAACCGCACCACAAGATGTCGCATTGTGGCATCGGTCAAAGACAAGATGAAATAGGCCCAGGCAAGATTGCTTGTCTTTGTGGCTTTGGGGTGCAGCCCGGGACCGACGGGCACAGCTTCGTGCTGTCTTGATGCCTGTCTTGGTGGGACCGGGTGCGACTCGAAAGGCCAGAAATAGCAGAGAGGCACACAGAAAACATCGTAAGACAACGTCGGCGCGCTGTGTAAGGAATCTAAGTTCTGATTAATTAAGCAAACCTGCCAGCGCAAAGACAAACATGTTGAGGTTGGCGGCTGGTCGTTCCGATGCGCCAGAGTGCCGAAGGACCATGCAATATTCGCCTGTGGCGCCAAGGATTGCTGCAAATAGCCGACAGCGATTCTATAGTGCGCAAAGACGCTCGCACTTATGCCATCGGACAGGGTTGAGTAGAGCCTTCAGAAGATAGTCCATGTAAAGTACGTACATGGGAGTTGCAATTGCAAAACGCCGGTGTTAGAAGCCTTTTAAGTCAATGCTGCTTGTCTCACAATCAACCCGCAGGAATCGCTTCATGTCGTCCTGCTCTTCGTGGGGAACCGCACCATGCAGCAACATTGACATCGCACGTTGGTGCAGTACATTAGGAGTACACAGGTGCAGGCAGGTGGCGACGTGCTGCGCGCCCAGCTCTGCGAAACGGCATGCAGCGGCCAGCGAGGAGAAGAACTGAAAGCTGTGCGAGAAGGCTTAAACAGTTTAAACAGTCGAAGTTCATAGCATCTTGATGTATTCCGGTATCACCGTCTATTTCAGCCTTGCGCCTTGCGCCTCAGCCTGGGCTCGAGTCGGATGGAGAACACGAAGCATCTCTTGGCCGTAGTGAGGTTCTGATGTCTCGGCTTCGAGTTAAAATAACTGATTACAGGGGCAGGAACGATTGCAGTCCAACGACCGGGCTGTCGCGAATGACCAACGTCCCCGCTGCCCAGGCCAGGTTCGACATATTCTGCACAGCGAAGGCCGTCGGGCGTGAACCTGACTCAGATCCTACTACGCACTCCGCACTCCCATGCCACCTGTAACTACACCGGTGCATGACTGGTGTGCGCGCTGCATGGGTGGGCGTCTCAGTTTGCTGGCGACATCAGTTTGCGGTAAGTATCATCAGCAACACGGCCATCAGGTGCGTGTTCGCTTGTCTTCAGGTAGCTGTCACAACAGCTGAATCCCCGAAGACATCCGGTCCGGCAGGACCCAGTCATGAGCCTGGTGGACCTTGCATACCTTGCGCGCATCTTCAAGGATCAACTAATTTGAGAAATGCTTGGAGACAAGCAGCGCAGAGCCCCTGCCGCAGCAGCAATCATCTTTGTTGCGCAGTTCAGGGCGCTTCTGGGCCCTGTCCGTCAAGAAATTCAGGAAGCTTCTGCATTGGCCGTCTAAGCTGTGACTGGGATTTTATTGGGACAGGCCCGGCCTTGTTTGGCTATATTCTCTATCATCTGGCTTTGTGTTTGTCCGTCTTCAGTGGGAGGCATGAGGAGCTACAGCTCATCGATATGTTTTCGCGGAACTTCCCTAAATCATGTATCATAGTATGCAGTGTATATATGTATGTATACATATATTATGCACACCCACAAATTGTTGCATAAATATGTGCGTGTCTTCATGCAACAGTAGATTACTCAGTAGTTCATACGAGCAGACACTGGACCTCAGCAGGACGGCGGCAAGAGAAACTTGCAGCCCATCGCCATGTTCAAAGCTTTCGGAGTGCCGGATTGTAGGCTTTGAACGGCAAGCTTTGTTTGCAAGCTTCTGGTGTGAGATGGAGAATTGGATTGGAGAATCGAGGTGCCTCGAGGGCAGAGGCGCGCGCAGGCCCAGGCAATGTTGGCCCATCCCTTGGAAGCAACTGGCTTTCTGGTTACTCAGCGCTTCCATCAACACGTCAAAGGGATGGCTGGGAGTGCCTGCCTGTGGCGCGAACTCGCCATAACGCTGTGCTGCAGCTGCAAAAAGCGCTTCGCAGAGGGGTGCGGGTGCCTGATCTAATCAGCTCGCAACAGCTGCATCTTCGCCCGGGTACAGAACGTGCAGAGCGATATGGGTTACCAGCAACCGTCTGCAACCTCTTGCTACTCGCACAAGTATATATTCTGCAACCGACTTCAACAGCAATGGCCTCCTGCAGTTTCCCCATGGACCAGCAGAGTTGAGCCTGGAGCAGAAGAAGACCTCTGTCTCCTACACCCGATCCTAGGTACGTCAGCTTGAATGAACCGTGTAACAACGCGGTTCAGCGAGTCTTCGAATCTGACAAACCTTCGTTATGTAATAACCCTTACAGGAAGCCTTGTCGTAGCCCTTGTAGTTCAGCCAGGCCCCTGGGATCCGGGCCAAGTCCAAAGGCTGGAAGCCAGATTTCAACGATTGCCTGGATGGGGTTTGCTATCCCCGCAAAACGCACTACCCCAAACCCCGAAGAGCTTGTAAACCCTTACAGTACGTATGTACAGTAACATACCGTAACCCTTATAGTATCCTTCATGAATAGCAAATATAGTGACCCCGTCATTTGGAGTGCACCCTCTGTGGCGACCTGCCTGCCAGCAAGCGCCTCGGAAGCCACGTGCTGTAGCACAGCAGCACCTCACCCACGACTATCCAAGGAAGTCTCAGGGCTTACGAGAGTACGTAGCGTTCCAGGCGAATCCTGCATTCCGTTCTGGCCGCTAGTGGCTCGGTACTCGTGGATGCTCTGTAAGATGGATAGCAGATTGCCGTACGGGAATAGCATCAGCAAGTTCGTGCATCGTCGTCCTGTCGCTGGCCTTTTTCGCTCAAGGTGGCAGCTGCCCAGGCGAAGTTGGCCAAATCCTGTGACAAGAAGAATGCAGACCCGAACACACGCAACAGAGATTTGCCTGCTGCCTTGTGACCCGCCGCCTTCTTGTAACTGGCCTCTGTATGACTGTATGTATATATATATATATATATTAACATATGCCGGACTGGGCCCTTGGCGCGGGGCCCGGCACCGTGCTCGGAGGCGGCGCGCGCAAGGCAGCGTCGCCGCAGCTCCTGGAAATCCCCCGAGAAGTGCTACAGGATTCCGAGGGAGTGCCATGATCACGAGGTCTAAAGCCACTTACGTAAGTAGGAAGTGTGGTGGAGGTATATGGCAGTTTTGCAGTCACTTCAGGGTCGGCCTGGGCTCTCGAACCACGGAGACGCGCCAGGGCGACTAGCGCCGCGCCGAGAGCGCGAGGGCCACGCAGCGCCTTAGGGCTGCGGTTCGAAGAGATTCCAGATTCTAGGAATTAGTTGCAGGGCTCTGCTTCTAATTCAAGCCCACGCCTTCGGCATGTGCTTCATTAGTGCTGAGAGAATCTCGTCGAGCTTGGAGTCCTGCAGCAGATGTCATGCTAAGTGCAATTCAATTCACGAGAAGCAGAGCCACTTGAGAAGCAGCTTCAAGGTTTCAGTTCTGCAGGCATGGCATGGCATGTCTTTTGGTTACCAGAAGCAGCTTCCAGCTCTACAGCAGCTTGACTTGAACATATCTGGGCGCAGGTCCAGCACTAACACTCCCAGTAGTTGCGGGCTTGCCCTGTCCTGCACTGCTTGACGCTTTGAAAGACCACCGAGGCGCAGCAGACAGGCTAGCGCCTTGCATCTTGTTTTCGATTTCTCTTGTGGTACGACGACCCTCCTTCACGTCACCACCATCAGCGCTGACGGTAACGTCGACGCGAGTACCACGACAAACAGTACATTGCACTACCAAGGCTGGTGCAGCCTCATACAACACCACCCCATTGACTTCCATCACGAGTAGTACCGTGTAGTTTACCGTCACTGGCACCACGGCTGCGACCTCGACGACATTGATAAAGATTTATTGTTGCAGATGACAGCTCATGAGCGGAAATAATATCAGTGGTATCATCCCTCAGGAGCCTGCCTGGTCGGCAGAACATTTTTTTGGAAGGTTGTGGAAGTAGCTGAGCACCTCCTGGAGCAGGACACAACAAAACCAGTGTCAATTTGTAGTCATTTCACGAAAAACTTCTGCTTCGAGGCGACGTTGACGGCAGATTTCAGCTGGCTGGAACTCGAGGCACGAGGTGGTCTAAGGACGCATAATTCTTGAGGACGGCTGCATGTGCCTCGGCACTGTTCAGCCGCCCGACCTGCGCAAGAAATTGCACGCATCATGTCAGGCCTCTCGCAAACTTGAAGCCATCGTGAGATGAGAATGCGGTGTAAAACTATCGGCTACTATGGGCACATGCATCACATGCTCGCCCTGCCTCTGGACTGATAAGAGGAGCAGCGTGCAAGATGTGCCTGTGTCAAGGCTGGTCAGCAAGACATATTAATGTCAAGCACAGAGCCAGTGCTGACGAAATGATGCGTTTTTGTCATGAGTTTTTGTCGCGAGAGTGTGCAGCAGAAATGCGCAAGAGCCGCGCCGTTGTGCCCGCAGGCCACAACGCAGGCAAAGAGACCGAGACCGGCTGCTTTAGCCCTGACTGACACCCAGTTGTCTAGCCAAGTTGGGAAAGGAAGCCGTTCCTCCATGGTTGCCGAGCTGGAGCCGTCAGCCCATGACATGGCCTGTGACTTTGTGAAGCTCCGCTCAACAACTCAAACATGAGTCACTTCATGCGATGACAAGGCTAACAAAAGAAGTCACAGTCTGGCCTCAGGGCAGGTGGCTTCAACAGCCAGCCGCTTGGTGAAGAATACATCCCGGCATCATCACGCAGACTTCGCACATGCCAACAGGCCGACGAAATGAAGCCAGTCAGCTGGTGGGCCCGTGAGTATGTGGGAATCTGTAGATGCATCGACTCTAACAACAACCCCAACGAACATCTGCAGTCGTCAGAAGCATCTCGGAATCGAACTGCGCTAAATCGTCAGCCAAAAAGGGCAGCGGCATCAGCTTCCCAACCGGAGCAGTTCGACGCACGGCGCTAGTATACATTGACAGTGCCCGGCATGCCCACAGCATTTTCGTCGGTGCAGCTGAACTCTAGCTGCACATTTGGGTGAAACGCCTCTCTTGTCAGGCATGTCACGGACCTGGTGCTTCTGAGAGTTCAACATAAGACGGCCTGATTTAGTTGAGGACCACTTGCACTCTCTTAAGCAGCCGCGCGGAGACATCCACACATTCAGAGCTCTAAGCGCTCAGAGCTGTCCCGGATCGAAACGCATCAAATACAGAGACCTGTGCTAAAGCCTCAGGAAATCAGGATGAGCCATGCGATGGCCACCTTACTTGGCGACTTGTGAGAAGCTGCAAAAAGCGTGGAAGCAAAGCGTGGCTGGAGCAAAGCCCGTGCTTTCTTGATGCTCAGGTGGCTCACGTAGAACAACCAGACGGGATAGACTCCCAAGGCCTGCGTGGAAACCGATGACACAGCCTCATGACTCCTCATCCATCCCGCTACTGGAAAACAGGTCTTGCCATGCAGAAGGAGCACGCTGTGCACTGCTGTGCCTTCCGATCCTCAGGCAGGAGCTCCGACATGAAGGCCACCTCCGGAGCTTTCACGGACTGCAGGCCTCCAAAGCCCAAAGCCTCGGGCCCACACCGAGGCACCGGTGGCCCATGTAAAGCCTACACAAACGAAGATGACCTGACAAGGGGATTTACGTCACTGAAGGGTCAGCTGAGCCAATGTTGGACCAACGGACTCTCCGCCTTCAGCCATATGACTTGGAGAAGCAAGGAGCAGAAGGCAGCTATGACCAGCGGGAAGATGCAGTAGCCTGAGGCTTTAGCCCAGAAACATCAAAAACATGTTTGCAAAAAATTGTTTGGTCACTCTGTCGTATGCGGAAGTGGGACTGCAGCTACCTGCGTCGGGGGTTCGAGAGGCTGTCTGAGGCACTGGCCCAAGACACAGACCTGGGTGCTCCACCGGGAAATGAGTTCGCACGCTACAGATCGCGTGCTGGTAACCAAGCCGCGAACCGACTGGAAGAAGGAGATCTTGCCTTTGAGGAGAACTGCATTCAGGGTCACGATGCCTGCAGCAATGCGGGTTCCACACCAACAAGCGTGCCAGAAACCGAAAAGTCCACGATGTTGCATGCATGTGAACACTGCGAGCGAGGCAGGAATGCACGAGTTCAACTCAGGAAGGTGTGGACACCTGAGCCTACCCACACGATCACGAAGACCAGGGCAAAAGCCAAGCTGGCCTAGCGCAACAGTCTGGGTTCTCATCTGCAAAAGAATCAGTGCTAGTCTCAGTTCGTTTCATGACACGTTGTCTACGAAGATTTCTTTCTTGCATAATGTGCTCACATGTTGCTATCAAGAACCACATGCTCAAAATACCAGCGGTTCCACTATAACATTGTCTCAAAAGCAGCTCACACAGCAGCGGTACTGGTCTCTTTTTGATTCTGAGGTTGAGGGTTAGGGTTCATTTGGGTTTGTGGTGCAGGGCTCAGGGTTCAGGGCCCATGCCGACTGAAAGCTCTGAAACCCATTATAGCGATGTGTTTGTAAATGCGTACGTACAGGCAGGATGGTGCTCGACTGCATCGTGCACTGTTGCATGACTACACATCTGCATGCGATGCAAGCAGGATATTGCTGAACCTGCTGCACAACCTTCATGGATTTGATATACTGTCTTACGACGCACATCCATGTCGCTGCATGCCGTTGCAAGATGTGCATAACATGTATTTGTATAATACTGTGTATACACGGCAGACATAGCAGGAATGACAGCAATAATAATCATCATCAACACGCGGCCACTACACAATCATAATCATATGTGGGTGTGTCACACTTGAAACACCATCTACACTTTCATGCTCAACGCATCATTTTCTTGTGGATGGAGCACCGGCCAAACTGCTTCTGCGGTTCACACTCCAAGCTCTGTGGGTTTCCAACCTGGTCTGCTCGCATAGAGAGCATGATGCCTCGGTATCTCAGAATTGAAACAGATTTAGCAGCCTGGACTTCTGGATCCACCTGTGCATTTTGCGAGACATATCATCTAGGTCGCGAGGATGTAAGTCTACAAGCCAAGTGCCTCCAAGCCACCCAAAGCTAAACAGAGAACCAACGGACCCCAGAGGTCCCACCTGGCAAAGCAGACGGATGAAGTAGCGACTGCAAGAGTGCAAGCTGGCAACTGAGGCAGCCACTCCCGCAAACCGCTGCCTTTGTCGGCGCGTGCTCTAGGCAGCATAACGTACCTGTCGCATGGAGAAGCTTCTGAATGATTTTGGTTCATGCGGTGGGTGCGGACTGTCCCTGCACGATTGCACAATATGCCTTCAAATCTGGACAACTGGACTCCGAACTGCATACCCGAATTCCACACACCAAAAAACACACACACACACACAGGTGGGACACACACAAACACATACACAAACACACAAGCAAACATAAAAGCCAGCAAGAGCAAGAGGGAGGGTGAAGTCCAAGCAAGCAGGCTGCTGGCGCACTTCAGCTTGGTTCCAATAGACCTCCGACACTAGGTGAACTGCGAAACAAACCCATATTTTTGTCATCGTCGATAGGGGCACCAAGGGTTGCAGTCAGGATAGCTACGCAGCTGGATCGGACACACCGATTCTACCGGTCAACATTCCACCACCATTCTGCACACCTCCCTAGCTTCAGAATCTGTGGCATCTACAGACAACGCCCCGCGCCTTAGGCCTCTCTACGCCTCGTGAACTTGCCTGATGATTGGCTAAAAATCGGCCTGAGATCTCTCATGATGGTCTCCATGACGGGCTCGTCCAATGTATTTCGGAGTCCCTTCCAGCAACGTGGCTTGCACAGACGACATGCTGCCCACGATCTCAGAGTTGAATTCACCTGCTGTGTGCTCAGATAGACAAGCTTCTGCAAGTGCATGCCATCATGTTCTTCAGCAACGAAGACGGGAGAAACACATTTGCAGCATCAAGCTTCAGAACCAAGTGCACAGGCAATCGAGTTAGGCGAAGAACAGCTCGCAGCAACAAGCAAAGGAGCAAGCGGCCACAATCCAAACTCGTACACACATAGCGCAAACCGCAAACAGAATCTTGGGAGCAAATTTGCGTCGACCACCCATAGTGCACTGCATTCATGATCGGGTGGTCGCAACCAAGCCTGCAGACTTGCAGACTGTTCGATTTGGCCGCTGGGCGCCACCCCGCCATCGCCTCGCATGTTGAGTGCATCAGCAGAACTACGGGCTGTCGTGGCTTGCATCCCCCAGCCAGCACCAGAGCTTGCCTCCAGAGAACTGAGGCGATTGGTAGGTGCCGCTTAAGTCAAAACTCGCCATCCCTGGCCAATGCAAGGATCACTCTTTGAGCATGCACTTTGGAGCATTGAGTTTGTATTCTGGCATATTCTGGCCGTACTTAGCTTGTGAATATTTTTGAAGTTCTTCAGACTGTCAGCAACTGGATGAGCCCGAACACACGCCGCCGTGCCTCCTCTTGCTCCCTTGCTAGGGTCTTGCAGCCGAAACAAGCGGCGGAGCGGGAGCAGCAGTGAGTAATACTGGTACCAAGGCATCCAGCGTAATTTTGATCGCACAGGTCCTCTACAGCGGGCAGCATTGTGCAGCAGCCAGCAAAAATGCCAGGTGAATTTTCTCGGTTCGGGGCTAACGGGTGGCAAGTGGGGCAGCGATGGATTCTGGTGTGTTCGGGGTATGTGTTGTGTGTCAGATCGGAAGTGGCCGGCAGTCATAGAGCTCAGGTTATTCGGCCCGGAGGGACGAAGGGGAACCGAAGTCTGCAACTGGCAGGCGGGATTCGCGAGGCGAGGCCACAGGACCTGAATAAACTTGGATGTTTCTCAGCCAGGCTCGGTTCAGGGCACGACCGGAGGAAGAAGCCCATCTGGAAACTTGTTCCATGGTTTGCTTGCACAGGCTCCCGGGCTGTCATTTGTTTTCCAAAGACAACTGAGGATTGAACACTAACGTTACCTGCACCTGCCCTCTTTAGGGCATCCTCTGAAAACCCCCAAGCGGTGAGCAGGTCTCTGTTTACGGAAACTTCTCACGAAACAATTGCTGACCCCGAATCCGGAACGAGTGACGGCCCGGAGAGCTGCACGGGAATCAAGCATCTTCAATGGCCGTTTACACCAAACACACTGGCCACTGCCAACAGCCTCATGAGTCCAGAAATGGGTAGAATCCCTCACCGACTCAGCCCGAGTAGCCTTCCTAGGCCCTCAAGGTTATTTCACAAGCTGCTGCTTTGCAAATGAAGCTTAGTGGTTATCCAAAGACGCTCGGCTGCAGCCTCCGTCCTAAGGGCTTTCTGTGAGTCGTCGCACTAAGAGTTCCGAGTTCAGATTCAAGGTAAGTTTGCCGCCAATGGGTGGGGACACGAGAAATTGTGACGTCTAGGCTAGTTGCACCTCCGAGCCCAAAACCTGTCAGGCGGTTTTGCGGCGCTCGCTCCTGTCGTCGCATGGTGTGCGAGTTTGCACGGATGCGCTGATGCTGCGCCCGTTGCTTTGCTGCCAGAGATCTGGATAAAGGGCCAGTCTCCGTGCAAACTCGCAGTCGGCTCTTGCAGTCATTCTACCCACACACTGGCCTGCCATAAGAGCACCCGGGCATCGTCAGGATGCCTCAGACGGCCCTCGGACTATACATCACGTCTGGGATAGGGCAGCGGCCGTTTTGGACAAGCTGAATCAGATACGGCTGAAAACACAAATGCGTCCGACATCCAAACAAGACTCGGTGGAAAACTTAGGACACAAGGCTCGGAAAGCAACATCCAAGAGCGAAGCGAACCGCTCATTAGACTTTCATCGAGTAGCAGCGAACACGACATTCCGACGGGAATGCACCTAAGGTTCACTTTGTTCAACTCTTCTTCAGAGGATTCTCGCATATTCTCGCAAGCTTCAGCAGGATACTCTGACGCTGATCACAGATATGTTCATGTGTTCTGCTCGAAGAGCTCATGCACCTACAGACCGATAGGCTGACTCCCGGCAACTTTGAGATGGCACTTGGTTTCCACGTGTCCCACCCCAGCATGCGTGCAGCCAGTCGTGGGCACGGCTTGCCGCCTGCCCTGAGCAAGGCCAGCCCTGCTCTGCACCATACAAGCGGCATCGATGCTCGCCATCAGCCAAGATGGAGCAACGGTGCAGAACGGCACAAGCCGCTAATTGGCAGTGAATTGCAAACAACTATGGGCGATAGGCCAGCAATAAGTCTGTGAACGTCTGCTATCGGAACCTACACTCCATGGCAGTGTGTCTTCCAGTACTACTGTAACTCGTCAGTGCGCAACGAAAATGCTGCATCACCTAGCAGGCATATCCTCAACTCGTTTTTTCACGATGTCTTCCTTGGAGGGCGTGCACGAAAAGAGTCGAAGAGACCGCATGGAGCGGGCGGCCATGTACATTTGCTGAGCAACCTCAGTGAGGCCAACAGCTACTCCAGGTGCAAGCTGTGGGTTTTCTGTATTTGGCGGGTTTAGCGGTCTTGATAACTACAATCGCACTATTTGGCTTTCTCCGCTGCCCCTTCTCTGAAACTCCCAAAAAGCCCGTGTCGGAAAGCGAAGAAGCTGGTGCCAGTGCAAGCAGTTTGGAAGCTAGGACCTCGGCTCCAAAGAGTTCGAGCTGGTGCGTGGAAAACCCTCACGAGCTCATCCTTGCAGGAGCATCATCGGAATCAGAAAGTGCAAAGCGGCAGCTACAGTACGCGAGCACATGAGTGTCACACTGCATGCAATCATGAGCTTGCCCAGTACGCAATACTTGCTGAAGCATGCTACTCGAAAAGCCACCCCGCCCATGACTGAATTGCAGCTGCACGTCAATCTGCTGCCTCCTCCCAACACAGGACTTGAAGGCGGTGACCTAGCTGAAGGTCTCGCGGTGCACAAGTATGCACAGCGGCCGGAATGTCAGAACAGATGTCACAGCGAGCGGAGACCGAGAGTCATGCTGCATGCCACCGCCAGAACGAATTATAGGCGGGACGAAGCTCCCTGCAAGCTCAGGGCATTGAGAAATTCCACCTGTTTGATGATCTTGAACGGCATCTCGTGACGGCAGTGCAGAACATCAAGCACAAGAGATAGTCTTCGAAGACACTACCTCTCGTCTCCCGCATCTAGAATCTAGCCAAGACGCCCTCGGCTTCACATGTGCACCCCCATCTATATGCATGCATGACTCTGTCTGTGTGCGTAACTCAGTTGCTTTATCATATATCTTGTCGCTCTGCACATGTGTAAGTGTCACTAGTACGTGTACGTGAACATCTGTGCACACACATACATGTACATGCATCCATGCATGAATACATATACACACACACATACACACACATGCACAGACATACACAGACGCACACATACACATACATACACACATACGCGCATACACACGTGCGCACATACACATATACAGACATTCAGACAGACAGCGAGACACACAGACAGACAGAAAGACAGACAAACAGACAGATAGCAGACACACAGAGACAGACATGCGTACATACTTGCATACATACATACACACATGCATACGCATGGACATATGCATGTATGTATGTGTGTATGTATACATATATACATATATACACACACACATATATATATACATGCACACACATATATATGTATATACACATATATACATATGTATATATATATATATAAGAACAGGGACAAACACCCCCAGACACAATAAGAATAGTAGGTCATATATTAATAACAGTTATAATATCGATAACGATATAAATGTATAATAATGTTTTGCATATGAATATGAACAGAGAGCTACATACAGACATACACATACATACATATATACATATAATGTATAACTGTGTCATGGGCGTGCCTGCACCCATTTTCCTGTCGGCATGCGCCTGCCAAGTTTGAGGATTCGCAAGCTCGTGGAACTTGGACTAGCAAGGCTGAAGGAGTTCTGCAGCAGGGCATCGCAGCATAGCAATAGCGAGGCATGCAATCTCCCTTTGGCCTGCCATGCATTCCGAGCCGCATTGGCGACGCCCCCCTGCACTGCCACACGTTTGACTAATTTGGATGCGGTGTGTGGGTGGGTGTGTGTGTGTGTTCTGCGGGGTTGCGACCCTTGGACACAAGAAGGACCAACCAAGCTGAGGGAGAAATCTCGTGAGTGCACCTGCCTGCACCCGTGCGGTCTGTGGCCGCTGGGCTGCGCTGCGCGGGGAGCATGGGGGGCCTCAGACAGCGCCAGTTCCAAGCCAAGCTGCACAGAAATCTAGCATTGCCCCACCAGAGCTCTCTGCGCATCCTGTGATCATGTATTTGTCACAGATGCTACCCAGTGCATTGTTTGTGCTTGCAGCTGCGCTTCCTCGTCGCTCGCGGCTGTTGATTTGCGTCAGCTTTGGTTCCGTTTACACCTGAACCTCCGTGACTTCGGGCGCAAAACAGGCTGACTCCCGTCATTCTTTGTGGCTGTTGTTGACCATGGTGATTTGAAACTGCGTCTTGAAAGGTTCGGGGTCGAACTTAAGGTCGCGGGGTTTGAGTTGCCAGGTTCGGTTTCGGCGACTCATCAAGTGTTGCAGAAGGCCTGCACAAGTGAATGTTGGGCTCGGGTGTGTGCAGTCCTGCTAGATTCTGTTAGAGCCCAAACCCAGGCTCCCGAGCTGCGTAAGCCCACCGGGCTTAGCAGTATACGCTCACGCTCCTTGCAGTCAGGCTCGATCGTTATGGTCTTCTCGAACGCCTCCACTTCCGCATAGGCACAGGGGTAGCTGTTAGCGATACAAAACAGAAGCAGCTCGCCGCAAAAACAAGGAAACTTCTTGTAGGCACAGTAACATATATAGACACACTCACGCGCACCCACAAATGCACAGCGACAGGCGGACGGAAACAGATGCGCATACCATCATACACAAGGAAAGAGAGGCAGAAGCCAAGACTTTTCTACCTTAGAGGCTCTGTCAAGTCGAGAACGGTGCAACGGGAGCAAGCACCATGAGACCATACTGATGCAAAATACTCAGGCAAATGATTGGCATGACACAGAGCCGACGTCTCTTGCCGTGTAGGGGGCTGCATACAAAAACGGCCACTTCTTCGACAAGTAGCTAAGCAGGCGTCGCTGCTGCGTGTGCCTGCCACATCAGGTGAGTGTGAGAAGCCATGTTGCTTGGAGATAGGTGAGCAATTACCACGCGAACCTCAGACACAAGGTACATGTCCACGTATCAGTGCAGATACCAGCACATATTCTAGAGCCACTAAATCTTGTGTAGGCTGTGACCAATGCCGATGTCGAAGGTGCTCGCAAACTGGCCGGCGCTGCGTTGCTTGCGGAGAGGCACCCACCGCAGCCGCCCTGAGTGGAGATTCTCTGAGGCATTCTTTGGATTCTTCCAATGTCCAAGCTCTGGCAGCTTGAGGAGGCCTGTAGCCGCTTGGACTGGATGCGGTGCTGGCTGTCGCAGGAAGACCTCCCGCTCTTGAACCAGAGAAGACATCCTAGAAAATCCAGGGTACAACAACATCCAGCGTATCTGTCGGAGCGCGTTGAGGAGTTCCCGATGGCGTCGAACCGCCCAAAGCCACAGCTGACTGCCTTCAACGTTCCACAGTTCAAGTTGGCTTTTTCATTATCAACTCCAGAATCGTGAGGTAAAGGCAACATGGGAGCAGCGGCTGCCGCGGCAGTGGCTCCAACGCTGAGGACGTCGTCCTTCGGGGCACTCGGGTCACGCTTCGCTTCCCGCTTTTCCCATCCTTTCTATCTCACATTGAAAATTCTGAAAATCGCAGAACTTGCTTGCCGGTCCTCGAAGCCGATATCCCAGCCACTGCCAGTGTCCTCAATTCGGCTCGCAGGCTAGTTGACGCATTACCCATGCAATTGCATGAAGGGAGCATGGGGTCCCTAAACCCAGAGGTCCTGGTATGGCATGGCTTGGGGGTCTTCGTGCTCGCAGTCACGGAAGTTGGTCAGGTCTCGCGGCCCCCGGACCTGGCGCCGAATCCCACATTTTGCTCATGTCTTATGAGAAACTCGTGGCCCTCGGGCCTGGGGAACCAGTGGAGGAGTGATTCGGAGACTTTGCAATCCTGGCACACACGGCACAGAATTCCAACGAGATAAACCGACGCCCTGGCTTCCAGCACAGGCCTTTCCAGTCAAAGCCGCGGAAGAAGACGTTGTCCCGGAGCTGCGGTGTGCGCAAACGCACCTTACTTGCTGGGCCGGCTAGGCCCCCCAAAACAGGCCCTTAGGCCGCAGACCCGGGCAGTGCGCCCAACCCAATGCAAAGCTCATGCAGCCGAGACCCAGGCAGTTCAGAAAATGGAAACACCTCTTCTGTGCTACCAGGCCACATCTGGGTTCCTGTGGCACAAGTTTCGCACCAGCTGGCCGGCCTAAGCTTCGCACATCTGCGCACATCATAACATTTTGGCAGCACAAGACACCTCAAGCGAGGAGACAATGCAGGCACAAGGGCTGAGACTACCGGGCCAAGTGGCTTCAATCTTGACTGCTTCCGGAAATCGCACTGACTCGATACCCTTCTTCACGAGGCCGTAGGTCTGCGAGGCACTACGACAGAACCGCTGGGGCTTCAGATCTCTGCATGGACTGAACTAGAGATTTTGATGATGGCAAGCTTTCAGAATGAACATCAGAAACAAGAGACAGACAGAAGATGCATTTGCACTCTGATTGTGTTGATGACCAGTTCTACATATCGCATTAGAATAGCAAAGAGTCTACACTCTACACTGCCGCTCTTGCAGACCAAGCCAGGTCCTCAAACCGCTTGTTGCCTCACTACAGAAGCATGGCCTCCTGTGCATTGCCGGATTTGGACTCGAACGGTGCATGTCCTGTAAGTGTCTTCAACGCAGTGAGGCATGGCAGGGACTTCGTGCAAAGCAGTCCATGACGGTCCTGCCAGAAGCTCGAAGAGCAGCACTCCGAGTGTCCACCAATCAACAGACTGACATTGCAGGGACAAGAATTCTTGCCAGCCGAGGACAACGAAAGGCTACAGTACAATTCCGATACAGTGAAAGTCGCAAGTCGCTGCCACTAGGCGCGCCCCAGCCTTGGTGTGTCCGACCTGTTCAATGACCTGACACAGCTACGCAAGACCAGAGCCTCCAGTCTATGCTGAGGAAAAGCAAACGGTAGATCCTTTCAGAAAAAGGCGTCTGAGCATTCATTGGAGCCTCCGGTGCCATGTAGTCCGGAGTGCCAACCATCGTAAAGGTCGGGCCTTATGGCATGAGCAGTGCTGCGCAGTGCGACTCTGCGGTTCACATGAACGTGTCAGTGCTTTAGGTAGCCGCTAGCCTTCGTCTACAAAGGATGCCTCGGCCTAACTGATTCGAGACACTGAGCTGCGTCAAGCTCCAGACTGGTCGCAACTTTCGCCAGTCCCATGTCAGTCACCTTCAAGCTTCGGAGCCAGTAGCCACAGTGCACAGCATCCCCAGTGCACACTTCTCCTGAGAAGAGATGCTTGCCTTGCAGAAGCCTCGCACATCCAGCAGCAGGTTCTCAGGCTTCAGGTCCTGCAAGCAACCACCGCTTGTTACGGGGGCCACTACCTTTCTTGCATACCAACTTTTTCTGCATTCCGTCCCGGCCACAGCCATCAAACGCTTGAAGACCCCTCAGTCCCGGTAGATCACGTTCTTCCCATGAAGATGGGTCAATGCCTTGCGAGCTCGCATTTCCTAATCCGAATTCAACAGAATACAAAAAAAGCGTTGGCAGGTACATGCAGCTATTGACACCGAGCTATGACCGGCGACTGCTGTCTCTTTGACGGGTAGTTTCACAAGATTTCGGAGTCCATTCGGTATCGTTGCTTCAAAACATGTGAACTTGCGTTTGAAAGGATAGCCCCCCAAAGGTCTGAGTCTACTCTCGACTCCCGACGTGAAGCCTCCGTGACGCAGGCGACGTAGAAGCGAGCATGCGTTTCGGAGCCTTGGCAGCAACTGCCAGCAGCTGGCACAAAGTAGCAATTACTGTGTTGCTCTCTTCCCTTCAGGACCGCGCCATAGAGCTTAAGGCGCTCATACGTGGTGAAAAGCTCTCCGCCAAGCGCAGCCTCGCACCCGCTGTCTCCAGTCTAAAGTCTTAAAGTAACTCTCGTAGGCTGTCTGGACGTCAGGTTCTCTTGTAACTCGCGTCTTGCTCTTCCCTGACTTAAGACTTGTCATGAGCCTGAAAGTGCTGTGGTACGTTCTGACGTGACTCAGCCGGACCAACCTCGAGAAGGAAGTACACGTGCTCTCTGCCACTGTACGTTGCCAGCAGTCGCACAACCTTGTTGCAGCACGTGTTGCAGCTACGGTGCATTACGTACATGTTGATGGACGACTGCTGCACACTCAAATTGCAGGAAGCACCGTGCAGGCACCCTCAGGGCCAGGCGAACGGTGTGTCCAGCATTTTGAGAATCCTCTTCTCATTGAGGACGGAATACCTCAGCCGGACGCAGAGAGACTTGCATCTAGCGCGCTCGGCGCTTCTAGGATCGATGCTCCATCCGCAGATGCGCCAGGTATCCCTTGGAGACGGCTTTCAAAGCCTTGGGCCAGGGTGCCATCAAACGCATCTGAGCAGGATGCCAGGATGCGGAGAGAGGAGTAATTCCCCTTATACAATTGCACAAACTACGAGATACTCTGGGTAGCATCTTGTCAATGTGGGGCGGCAAAAATTTGAGTGGCACACATATGTTCTTCCCGTCCTTCGATCAGCCTGCACTTCTGTTGCATCTGCGCTGTCAGGAATATTACAAGCCAACTTAGTTGTTAGTTACTAACACGTCTCAAGGATCCAACGATCCGATGCCACGCCTCGAGCGTTACCAGTCCGAATGCGCCGACGCCGAGTCGGCCAATGCGTTGTAAGTCGCACCTCCGTATCCTCGTCACACCTGCCCGAGCGGAAGAGAAGAGGGAACAGACCATAAAACGACCATCATCTACTATCATGTCGTATACGCATAAATATACCATAACTTAACTTATAATGTCGTATAATAAACTGTACGAGGACCAGGCAGGCCATCCCAGTCCAATCAAGAAAAGGGCCAATGCTTCTGACTGCCAGCGCTGCTGCACTGCTCTACGGCATCGTGCCTGGGTTGCTGGTCCTTAGCAACGACGTGCGAGACATAGTGAGACAGTGTGGAAGCGCAAGAGCAAATGCGAAAGCCTTCCCTGGACCCTTCGGGGGCGCCCTGAGCCCCAGACGCAGATCCGGAACCAGGGAATGGAGTCGATGTGACAGGAGGAGCGCCTGAGTCCGGCAGAGATGAAAAAAGAAGGCTCCACTAACAGACCTGCTGCCAGAAATGCCAGAACTGCGCAGCGCAGCGTCCGGTTCAACGAGACATAACGAGACGGCCTCTAGTGAACGAATGGCGATGCAAGAAATAGCCTTCATCTGCTCTTGTGTTCAGAAGTGCGCTGTCGCACTCTGCACAACCACAGTGTAAAAAGTATCCTTTGCCTTGGCTGTTGCCAAAATCAACCCTCGAAAGATCTTCCTTGCAGAGAGGCCGGCACCGGGAGTAGCTGCCCTCACGGTCCGGCCTGAGCTGGTCCTCGGCTCAGCTCCAATCAACAAGCGGAGACACCGAAGGCTCCCCAATCGGAGCTTCAGTGTCTCAGTATCTCCTTTGGTTTCGGGAGTTCGAGACCCCTGGTTTCCTTTAGAGGAGTGTGTCGGCGATTCCCAGCATCCTCGGTTTATCTATGCTCCCCAAGCCCAACTCTCTTTGACCTTTCTGGGTTCCCGACGGCGGCTCCAGCATGCCAGGCACATCGGGGGGCGCCTCATGGAGCTGATGCTGAGAGGAAGAGTACACCAGGATGGGATAAAACCCCTTGGGGACAAGACCATCCAGACAAGAGCCCTGAAAATGCCATTGAGTAATGACTAGCTGCTTAGCTGCCAGTTATCTGTGATACTACTGAAGTCCAGGCATGAGAGACATTCATGCTGTGAGTCCTGGCGTGTCCGTTTCTCCCTGAAAGCCAGCTACCCGGATGTTGGCTGACAGGCCTTCGGCGTGCAGACGCCAGAACCTGCGCAAGAAACTGACTGGCGCAGATGCAAGACCTGCTGTGAGAAGACCCAACATATTCTACAGCTCGGGCTTGGCTCTCTGCCTGTGATCGGCGGTGACCATGAGTGGGACGGCTGTGTTGGGGCAGCGCGTGGCCTCGCCCAAGCTCAAGCGCGACTACGCTACATGGCCCTGTACGCCTGCGTGTTCTCAGCAGTTTTGAAGCCTCAGTCAAAATGCCACCACTAGCGTTCAATTGAGAACTGGTGGTGGCATGAAGTTCGGGGTAGGGGTACAGTTGCGTTGGCAACCGCCAATGATGCCGCTCCAAGGCTGTGAGTGGGCATCGCTGGCGGCTGCCAATGCCACGGCTGAGCCAGCGACTGAGCCAAATGTGCGGGAAGCACAGACTACACGCCCTTGTTCCTCTCTCTATCCTTTTCTCGTTGGCGAACAGCCAGAGATGGCGATCCGATCGCTCCGCAACACTCCTCCACTGGGCCCAAGCCCCCGACGCAGCCCAGGGAGCTGCATTCGCTGATGCCCCCTTGGGCAGCGGCGCCTGGAGAGAGAGAGAGAGAGAGAGAGAGAGAGAGAGAGAGACCGAGGTCAAAGATGCTCGGGCCGCGAATGCAGCGAGATGCAGCGAGCCTGCGAGGGTGCTTTCGCAGATGCGCCGGATGTCTTCGACTGAACTTTGACACCTGCAGCAGGATTCTTCGATGAGGCTGATCTGCTGCCACACACATATATGCTCGTTGCTCCAACTGCAACTTTGGGCCTGTCTCCTCAACGTTGCCATTCACACGCGGCACTGGCCGGTTCGGCGGTGTAGGAGATGAGGGAACCTGCACACGCACAGCCAAAATCCCTCATCATACTTCACTGACAAGTGCCACGACGACAAACGCATCCGCCGCGCCTCGCGAGGCTGTTTCGCAGGGCTGGCCTTACGCTCCTGAGAGACCGGGACCTGGGACGCGGGAGGGTATTTGTGTCGTCGGTGCCATTACTTCTGGTATTAGAGGTTTGGTATGGTTTGGTCCTGCTGGATGCAAACAGCGGACCCCAGGACAACACGTGAGCACTACGTAGACTGCTTAATCCTTTCATCCTGCGCAAAGACATCGATCCGTTTGGCCTCCGGTGCTCGCAATGACTCTTGCACCTGCCAGCACCAAGTTCTAATTCATAACGTCTGCACTACACTCCTACTATGATGTTGGACGACATTGGCAGGCAGTAGTACTGCTGGCCATGCTGGTGGGGTCGCTAAATCACCCGCCGCAAACAGAGGCACGCAAAGGCCTCCTTCAATGTCGGCGCAGGCTTTCGAGGACGAGGTGGCAAGCGGTTCACCTAAGAACTGGTGGACTCGAACACGCAGCGAGAAGTGGACGTGCAATCTGTTTGTGCTTCTGTGGGGGCACACACGCCAGTCCTTGCAATATATACTGTTATATCCCGTAGACCGGAGAAGCTGGCGCCCACACACAGTGGCGAGGCCCTCGTGCCTCGTGTCCCAGGCAGATATAGATCGCGCAGACATCCCCAATTCAGCAAGCTGAAACAGGGCAAGCTTTCTTGTACATGGGCATTGTGCGCCGTGCAGCACCTTGCTGCCTCCATACTCCAATCAGAATCACCTCTTTTCCCGCCTTGGCCCTCCGTCTGGACGGCTGCCACTCGGAGCTGAGGTCCGGGGCGACCGTCTGACAGCTTCTGGGCCGTAGACTCCACACTGAACACACTAAACACTAAACACACACACACACAGAGGCGCAGAGCATGCGTGCTCGCCGCTCGCCTTCGGCTTCGCTGGCAACACCTTTGCCAGGATGAAGCGAACTTGGGGCGCCAGCTTGAATTCCTCACGGCCAGAGTGCTGAAGGCTACAGCTGCGCATTTTCAAAGACGGTTGCATGATGTGTCCTTCAGCCTGCGGCCGCGCTGCAGATCGCCGGTACATCCGTCATAGCCTCGCAAGGCTGGAGATTCAGAAGACTGTCGAAGGATACAGGGACCTTGAGAGACCATTTGATCTGCATGTTAGGCATGCTTGGCCTTCGTAGAGAACACGTTGTTGTGCGGAGGGGATGCCGTACCTTCGGGGGGACATGGCTAGACATCACCCGTAGCAGCATCCTTTCAGAGTTCCACAGATTGCAACACTGTGTCTTGTGGCACTTGATCTCCAACTGCTTGAACACTATCTCGGCGAAGTCGTTCTCACTGACCTGAAGCTGCTTCAACTCACGGAGCAAGGTGCTTGCCGCAGATCGAGCATTTTTGGATATCCAGACCTGTCTGCATTGCCACCAAGGTACCGTCAGCACACAGGTTTCGTACCCCAGTGTTCGCACGTGCAGTTCAAGCTGCATGGCCTCTCAAATGGAAACTTTTCTCTTGTACAGGGCAAGAGCATCCTACCCCTATCGGACCTATCGCTTGCCATGCGTGCACATTGTCACTCACACCGGCCCAGTCACACAGTTCTGGGCCGGGGTGGCTTCACTCAGCTGTGCTGAAAGATCGGCGCAGTTGCTGTTCTGCGCATTCTGTGCAAACAGGAGGTCATCCATGTGGCGAGCCAAGTGAAACCGACAAGTATGGTAAGCGTGCGACTGTGTCAGCGAGCAGCAACTCATTCGCTTGACGATCCAAAGTGCCATTCCGGCAATCCGAGGCTTTGTCAACCTCTTGTTTTTCTTCAGGAGCAGCGGCAGCAGCACAGCAATGAGAGACGGGTGCCGGTGCGGGTGACACAGGTAGCTACTTGTTCACGCCAGGACTCCTGCCATCCATTCTCTTGCCACCCGTGCAACTGCTCTTCGTTTTCTTGCTGCCCTTACCCCGAGTAGAGTAAGGAAGTCTTTCTTGTGGTCCCAGGAGGGTCGAAGGAAGGCTTGGTGGGGGAGCTTGGGAAGAGGTTGCTTGCGGCGCTTGCGGTGACGTAGCGTCGTCCGGGACCACTGTTCGAAGATGCCCGGAAAGAAAGCGATTTGACAAGCGCGGCATCTATAAACAGGGCCTCATAAATCGATCTCCCAGCGCCCTTCTCTGCAGTTTGGTGCGGATACTCCGCAGGCCGGGCCTGGGGCCCTGGAGTTTGAAGGCTGAAGGGCACAAAGAAAGTCAAAAAAAAAACAACTCACTCGGCTCACGTCCAGTGCAGCACGGTGACATGCTAGAGTCTGTTTCAGGTTGCTTGGGGTGACAGAGTGCAGCAATTTCCATAAAATTCTGGCCTTTCCCTATCCAAGCAGGCCCAGTGCTTCAGAACTTCATGCGAGCTGTGCGCCTGAACTGCACTTCGAAGGCTGCAGGAGCCGGAGCGAACGCAGTGGTGACCGGGGCGACAGCGCGCCGTCTATAGAGCTCTCGGAGTGCCACACGAACGGAAGTTCACTTCGTTTCAGGTCGTGCCGAGTTCGTAAGACATGTCTTGCGTGCTGGATTGGCTCCCCGCTCTCTGTCATAAAGATGTAAATAGACATAGCGGCAATGACAAAATACCTGGGAGCCAACGCAAGCAGCAGCCGGTGTTCTGCAATCCGATCTACGGGGTACAGCTCTGATTCTGTCAACTCGTGCAACAGATGATCAGTGTCTGCCTTCCTGGTCACAGTCAAGCTGTGTTCTTTGCATTTTCCGCCGTGATCAGAAGCGATCTCGCATCTCGAAACTGCTGCAAGCAGAAGAGACCTACAAGGTTGTCTGACCTGGAAACTTTGCTCTCCGACATCTGCGCCTCGATGCATGGAGCATTGTGGGCAACATGTTCCATCACGTTCCCTTTCAGCTGGCTTCTTCAGAGGCACCAGCCTGGCAATAGTCTGGCGCTTGAATTGAGACATGGAAGCATGAACATGCAGCGGCACATCCTCATCTCTTCACCAGATGAAATTCATGTGGCCTCAGCATCGGCCTGCGACGGTGTAGGAGGTGGCATGTCCGCTTCGGATCCTCCAGCATGTTTAAGCTTGGCTTACAAACCGAGGCGGCGTTATGTCGCTTCTGGAAAGATGCTACTCCGACTCGCTCATGATTTGGTTCCTCCTTATACTGAGACCACCAGGACCCCACGGCCAAGCACTGGCGCGACTGAGGGGCACGGCGAATGCCTTCCCCAAAACACTGGCGAGATTCGAAAGCAGACCCATGCACACCTAACCTCCGTGCCCCAAGTACTGGCGGATGCCACCATGCTGTCTGGCAGAGAACATATGGCATAGTAGGTCGGGTGCGGCAGGCAAACCGGTGAAATGAGCAATTGCTCACTGAAGCGTTGTGCCATTCCGAATCACTTGGCGGGTGTCCTTCCGGCGCCGCAGGCGGCTGTAGTTGAGCAGCAGCTGGGCACGAGTGTAAGTTGGTTCACAGGAATTCACTTTCGAAAGAGTGTGTGCAAAGACACATGATCTGTCGTCATGCCTCCGTTTCTTTGTCTCCACAGTGGACATGTGCAGTGCAGGTTTGATTCTGCATGCTCTGAATCTTGAGTCATCCTGAATCTCGAACACATACCCATGCTCAATCCTGCGAGATGCTACTTTGAAGAATCAAGCATACTCTAGAGGCCAATCAGGGGCCGGTCTAGTTTGCAAATCCGCGCCGGCGTCAGCTGTTGCAGGCATGCTTGCAAGCTCTTGCTCGGTTCTGGCCCTCATGTTGTGAAGATGCATCCGAAAATTAATCCTGACATGCAAGATTGGGAAAACAACACCAGCCTCGGATGCTCTCCGCACTTTCGGCTGCCTGTCAAAAAGAGGCAGATGCGTATCCCACAGCCAAACGTACTAGCCACGCGAAGCACAGGGTAACATGGTTCAACTAGCGTTGGCAAAAAAACAACTCGCCTGCTCCGCTAGCCGTCGCTCCTGTGCCAACCTCGAGCAAGGTTTTCAGCTTTTCGAACACGAGCAAGTACCACACGCACGGCGCATTTAATGGAGGCTGAGCAGCTATGCGCCGCGATCCATCCATCCAAATCACTAACACGAGAACAAGACTAAACAGTTACACCGACAGGGCACCTGCTGTGAAGGCGAATCGCGAAGAGAGCGCCCAGAACAAGCCCTGTCACGTGCAATTGCAAGGTACTTCCTCGGTGCCACTCGACAACTCTTGGCAGTGTTGTAGCACGTTTTGCTCCTTGAATACTCTTGAATGAAATGCGGTGCACTGCAATGAGCAGTGAGGTTCCAAGCAATCCTGCTTGAAGTGCAGACTAGCCTGGCAACAACCTCAACACGGCACTCTGTACGGTTGACCAGGCATATTGATGACTCGCAGCAACGATATGCATACATATGAATGTCCTTGCGACAGGTATAGCAAAATCGCCTTGACAAAGCTCGACAGTCGCGAGGCCTGCGTCGATGTGTTGCAAGACGAAGCATTGGCATTCGCCAGAGGCCGTCTTCTGCGCAGAGACAGAAAAGTCGGGCGTTGTAAAGAAGTTGAGCTGCATCGCCCGACCTATCTAACGTGCCAACTCTGGTACATGTATGTGTGTATCATAACTATGTGTGTACATTTTGCATTTTGGGCATATACATATACATATATGCGCATGGTATATAAATTTAATTCGCTCATTCATTAATTAATTAACTATTTAATTAATTAATTAATTAATTAACTAATTAATTAATTAATTAATGAATTGATCTATATATATATGTGTGTGTGCTGTATTCACACGTGTATGTATGTATGTATGTATGTATGTATGTATATACATACATACATACATACATATGTTACATACATACATACATACATGCATACATACATGCATACATATATACATACATACATCTACACATGTATACATACATATGTACCCATACATACCTAAATCCATACATACATACATACATACATACGCATATACATTATCTATCTGTCGTGCAGCTGCACGACATCAGATGACATGTTCGCCATAACTGCAGCCTTCAAGACCCTGCCCAGACGGCGTCCTCCAGACCGCAGATCTGGTAGTTGTCCTTGTTCAGCCCGCGGATGCTGATGCGCCCTGCGACAGAGTCGCTTCTTGCAGGCCTGAGAGCCCTAACTCCGAACACTGCGCAGAGCCTGCCCGGCTTTGGAGCGATAATAAGAAGACCACACTCCGACGAATCAAGGGGAGCTTGCGGCTTGGCTGAACCTTCGGGCCTTCGGGACCGAAGTCTCCATCCAGGCTCATCAGCGGGTAGCCCATCCTCCACAAGGCAAGGGCTAGGCGACCAGAAGGCACCCTTGATGTCCCGTTTTGCGTTCTCAGGTTGAGCAGAGCACGTGACGCGTCACGACTTCGTCAGACATGTCGCATGGAGGCAAGTCAGGCTCCAGAAACCCAAGACTCCAAGTCTGAGCAGAGTCATTTCCATTTCGTACAACTGCCCCTGCTGGGGGTTTAGAATTGGCAACTCCTAGAGGGATGACAGCTGGTTATCAACTCCCCTGTGAAGCACATTGCTTGGCGTGCCTATGCCTGACGAAATATCTTCTTGGATTGTCGGGATGCTCCGGCGTCACGAACCTCGATCCAAACTGCAGTAGTCGAAAGCGTTGAGCTTAGTGCTGAAGTAACAATATTAATATGACTTAATGCCTGGCCCAGCAAGATATTCCTGTGCAAAGCAGAAAATTGAAGGGGGAACGTGGTAATGCGTTTATCCGTGGACCTCGGTCAATCACTTCTGTGACATTCTGTGACTGCGGGAGTGCTGCGTGCAAGCACGAAGGAATTTCGCAGCTACACTGTGCAAAACGACAGCAGACTCGCAAAGCTTGGGAACGAAGTTCCCGACAAGAAAAAGCTTTGCCGCTACAAGCAGTTCATGGCAGCTGACAGGTCTTGCATC